GGGCACACAAAGAAATACTAAATGGCAATATCGACCTGGAGCTGAAAAAGACCGTTATGAATACTTGCATTCTATCTTGCCTTACTCCCAGCTCCCGGACCTGGACTTCTACAAACAACATAAAAGGCAAGATAACCACATGTCAGAGAACAATGAAACGCAGCATCTTAGGCTCAAGAAAGATTAACAAAGTAAAAAGCCAAGAAAGCAGAAAAAATACCAAACTGACAGATGCTCTATATCATGCATTAAAATTAAAATGGAACTGGGCTGGCCTTGCAGCGAGATACACCGATCAGAGATGAACTCTTGAGAGTACTATATGGAGCGGTCCAAACGGATAAAGGAATGTGGGAAGACCACAAAAACGCTGGGTGGACGATATAAAAATGGTTGCAGGAAATAACTGGATAAGGACAAAGCAAGATAGGAAAAAATTGAAGAAATTGGAGAGGATAGAAACAAGGGGTTCTTGTAAAAATAAGAAACTAATATAAATCGTATAACTACTAACAACAGAAACATTTACTAACATTAGATAATAAAGAAATACTTCGTTTAAAATTGTTAATGAGGAATAAAAAGCCTTTTTTTATATCCAATCAAATAAGCTCATGCAGTCCCAAAAGGTGTTTGACTAATTAATGTTAAACACCTAAAATTCCAAATATCAACCAAGCTCTATCATTATTTTTCAACTGAAAAACCATATCTGAAAACGAATCGAAAGAATTTGATGCGATTACAGCGTCAAGGTTCAAAAACAACAGCAGTCGACCTAGATAGCATACATACCTACCCAGTACTCAATCATTCGACACAGCCATACAGCTATAACGAATGCAGTATTGATTTTCCGTCAAGCATTCATCGTAGTCTCGTAGGCAACTTTCAACGTTCAAAGCTGATATGATTGGTTAGCAGGCTGGCAGTAAATATTCATCTTACACAAAAAAGCCTCATCTGACAGGCAAAACAACAGTTGATTATATAAAATCTAGCAAATGATTAATTACACAAATACGACGAGGAAAAACGAATGATTAATTTATTCAGTATTGCCTTTAGATTATATTATAAAACAACTGTAGTGGGTGTGTGGTATTTTAATAGTGTTTTGATAGTATAACAATTGTTGAACACTATAAAATCCATTATAGGTCGAACATTGTTATCGCATATCGGATGTTTTGGTAGAATGCGTTTGAAGGATGTCTTTCTATCTATTGTTAATGCTTCATACATAGTTTTCGATGAGCGGTAAGACACAGCTGATTTTTCACTTAAAATCCACTTGTGGTAGTAACCGCCACTATGCATGACAACAATAGGACCATAAATAATTTTCTCTATCTATACATACATTTAAAAAGAATACATATTTCCATCATTGGACAAAAAGTTACAAGTATAAGCCTACCCTACCGCCTATGAGGATCACTAAGGCCCGTATTATAGAAAGGTTCTCAGTGATTGATCTAGTCTTGAGCATAGTTAGAAAGGGATGTCGCTATCTGCTAATTATAGGGACATCCCTGTACTCAAGTAAAGATCAACACTGAGTTGTCATTCTGTAATACGGGCCTAAGTCTAAAAGCTATAGCTTAAGATTTCATTTTGTTATTTCTGGCCGCCGAAGGTTTTCAATTACCTCGCGCTCTTTTATTTTCTTTTGCATTGGTAATAACAATATGTTATTACCCATCACCTGGGTTCAATGGGGATTGGCGGTTGCTAAAGACTGCAGCACTGCAGCTGAGACCAATGGCTTATCAATTACCCATCCGACGACCAGCCATTAAGAAATGTTTAACTTCCGAAACGGTAAATGCGCTAATTTCTCCCGTATGACAACAAATTGATTGAATAATTAACGAATGTCAATAATAATTCTGCCGGCACATTTTCTAAAACATATAAGTACAACACGTCGTAACTTACTGCGATTGAATATTGTACTTTTTTTTATTGCGATATAATCAAATATTTTCGAATCAGTCCATTACTTAATTATTAATATTATTTAATTCGAAAAATATCCAAACGTAATGCTGCGATTGGATATAGTCATGGAAAGATTTGAGAATTGATTGGTTGCTATAATTTAATTACTATATCCATTAACGCTTATTAAGATTCGGTGAAATCTGGAAACTTCATCATATGTCTAATTAAAGAAACTGTTAAATAATAACCTATATAGACACCTTGTGGTGGTTCCATCTTTTCCTATTGGTTGTAAATGATACATTGTTACGCCAGAAATTAAAGATATCATTTTGGACGATTCAAATGAGTTGTACTATACATCCAATCTGAATAAAGATATATTGATTTCTGATCATTCATTCATGTAATGGAAGGTGACTTCCGACGTATCTCTGAAGACATTTTTCAACTTGACGACCCTGTATATAACAATACAGGAAGAAAAAAACAGCCCTAACTGAGTTTCTTGCCGGTTCTTCTCAGTACAAGGTCTCCCGCCGTAGTTTTGCGAACCGATGGCGTAGGTTCTTGACCTTCATAAGTGCTTATAACAGCCTAGACTGAACAAATGACTTTTCATTTCATTTCAAGAATAACTACTAAATTAAATATAGGTACTGAAAGAGACGTAGGGATAGTGAATAAAAAAAATGGATGCGTGTACTTATGTAGGCGCGTGAGAAGTTATCCTTCTTTGGCATCGTTTAAAATTAGTTTTTAATTGCATGCAAATAATTAATTACAATACATTAATAAAAAGTCTGGAAAAGGACACAGTCAATAAAGTTCAGTTTTAATTTGAAAAAATAAATAAATAATCAAAATATTCAATTAAAATCGCTACTGAATATAATTTATTAGAACATATGTGATTTGCACTTGTATGAAACTCAATTACACGTATTCCGAATATACAAACTAGAAACATGTGGATAAATATTATAAATATGAATACCTATAACTGTTACTTTATTACAAAAAATAAAGATGTGGTTTTTGGTTCTACTACACCGATGGTCAAGAGATGGCGCTGTAGTCTCCTGAATCGCGTTTTGGTTCCGTTGTTCCAGATTAATAAATACTTTTGATAGGCCTTCACAATGCAGTCGTTAGCACCCACTAAATAGAGATTCTATTTCTATTTTGTTGGTAGATTTTCTTAATGTGCGGTAAAAACAAAAGTAACGCATGAACTTCATGCTGTTAAAATTTTGTGTTACAGTGATGCGCGCGCATCTTAAAATTTCACTCTCGTCATTTTTTCATAACGCGCCTAAAGAAGTATAACTGCAAAAAGAATGAATTGAAGCGCCCGTCTGGGGAAGTAACCTCCACCTTACAGGAGACCACGGTAAAATAACACTTTTGGTGGTGTTCTGTTTCTGTCGGTGAGTAAGGTTTCAGGACTCCACGGGGTAGGGGATTGACGGGGTGGGAGGGTCAGGGTAGGTAGCGGCGCAAGTGATATTTTTTGTATCGCAAGCGTCTACAGCCTATAGTGGCGGCTTACCATCATATCATAAAATGATTTGGTATAGTATTGACTTTCAAAAAGGACATTGGGCAAAAATGTATGGACGCTGTACCCACGTCCGCCATGACTTAAACTACATTTGTTTGAAAGGTATTATACTCGAGATCATCTGTGCCAAAGCGAATCGAATTCCATCCCGGGGGTCTTTAGTTATTTTAAGTTAAATATGTTCAAGCACAATAACGAACGAACATTAATGAAACAAGGGAATTAATTTAGTTAGTTCGACCCTACATAGGGTGCTCAGGAATTATGGGAGTACTTCTCAAGGTGCAAGGGTGTCCCCTTATGTTATTCTGCCGCGCTAGAGTATATCCAAAAATCCCTGCATGGGTTGGGTTTTTTTAAACATTCTGTTCAGTATAGTAAATTGTCTTCTATGTAAAACGGAGCGACCACAGATTACACAAACTTGTCCACGTTTGGGAGAAGACATGATTCCAGTTCATCCATACTAATTGACAAAACCGATAATCGTGTCCCAATATCCAAAGCGTGTTAGATAAAAATCAATCAAGTACCAGGGAGCGCACAATCACAACAAATTAAGACGAGTCGACTATTTGCAACTGTAAGTCCTTCATCATCCGTAAACCGTTTTGAAATGTCTCAGTAAGAGCAAGCACAGGATGGTCGGCAGGCTTTGTCGTATATCTGGTTATACAGTACGATATGGCATATTATTATGATTACTAATAATATAAAATGAAGGTACTATAAAATGAATTTATTCAGCTACTTAAATATGCCCATGTGTCATATCTATTGACTACCAGGATATTTTTTACGGTGCCATATCTTTTGACTCCCAGGATATTTATTTTCGGTGTCATAATAAAAAAGGCTAGTTTGTCAAAGATCTATCGATTCATACCAATTACATTGTTGGCGGAGCTGGGTGCGTTTTGCCCATTGTCCTTTACAAGTAAGATTTAGTGCGTTCTGGTTATTTACTGTAATTAAAAAGGTTATTAGGCATGTAAGTACTCACATAACTAAACCCTATTTCTTTTGCTATTTGCCTTTTGACAAGCAACTGCGGAACCTCACATAGCTGTTGGTCCGTTTCCAACACGCGCTTCGCCAAATTTTCAATGTTGCCAGAATAATCATTAAATTTTTTTTTGGTAGAATATATACCTAATATGTAGGTATCGGAACTTTTTTGTGCAAAATAAAGAAAAGTAAACTGAATTAAAAGTGAGTTGTGTCGTGACGCGATCGGTTTCATACATTTAGGCCCGTATTATAGAAAGATTCTCAGTTATATATAGCACATAGCGACATCCCTTTCTAACTGTACTCAAGTAAAGATCAACACTTAGTTGTCATTCTGTAATGCCTTAGTATGGTTAGAACTATACTCGTGTGTCGCGATGTGTCAGCGTTCTCGCTCTAATCATATTAAATGTATGAAACACATAGTTCTCTGATGCGTCAGTCAACAACGCAGCACGTAGTAGTTCTGCCATCATACCTTGGCATCTTGCAGCGTCCTACTCGACAGTGCTCTGTTTTTCTGTATGATTGCTGAGTAGTTACTTCCGGTCTGGAAAGAAAGGAACAGATATCAAGATATAATTTGTTTGCGACGAGAAGCTCCAGAACGAACCTAGGCTTATTTTCTCCTATAAATAGAATGCTCTCTTAGTACAATACACTGTCAAACAGAGGCGGCGTAAGGCGTGGGCGACGTGGGCCACCGCCTACGGCCTCGCGGTACAAGGGGTCTCGCGGTACAAGGGGCCTCGCGCTTCAAAAATGTTTATGCATTACTTAAAAGCGATTTTTTTTTATTATTTTATAAAATCCGTCTTTAGGTCGCCACAGAACAGGGCCTCGCGAAATCTGTTACACTGAATGAAAATTACACTTCGCGGATACACTGAAGAGAATAAAATATTTGTTTGGTTGTGCCCACATAGTTTTTTCAGTAATTTATTTCTCATTAATTTATTTTTCATTAATTTATTTTTCATTAATTTATTTTTCATTAATTTATTTTCATTAATTTATTTTTCATAAATTTATAAGATTTAATTGCCAGTTAAGTGTAAATTGCATGTCGTAATCGCCTTTAATTGAAGTGTCGTACTATAAATGTGTAAATAAGAAATGTCTAAGTATAACTTTGTTGGTGATCAAATAAAGATATTGAGCTGCAAAATTGTTGCAAAAATACTACTACCCGTTTGGAAAGTAAGCAATTGAAGTGTTCTGGATTATTTCTTTCGCGTAAAATATGTCTCTGACATTATCTTATTTTAAAAAAACACTGTAGTCAAATCAATATCACTGATAAAAATTAGCCTACTTTATCTAATATATTCATATCAGAAGAGCTCAATTTTATTAGGATTGTTTTTACGATAGCTGTTTTTTATATATACTATTTCGCAAAATAAATAATGTTTAGGTAACTAAGTAGGTATAAGAAAAGAAAAATCCCACAACAAACTTATTTAAAGTGCATCATAAGTTAGTAGTTAATTTAAGAATTTATCATCATCATCATCATCAGCCTATTAATGTCCCCACTGCTGGGGCACAGGCCTTCCCTATGGATGGAATAGGGAGATTGGGCAATGACCCACCATGCGGGCCCAGTGCGGATTGGTGGGTGCTAACGACTGCAGACGCAGCCGGGACCAACGGCTTAACGTGCCTTTCGAAGCACGAAGGAGCTCGAGATAGTAATTTTTGGTCACCCATCCAATGAACGACCACTGCGAAAGTTGCTTAAGTTCAACAATAATAATGGTCAGTGCATTCGCCCGGATTGCGAAGGGTGCGGGTTCGAGTCCCGTCCGCTGCCTGGTCCGCGTGGATATTTTTCTAGTAAACTTTTCTTTAGATTTAAACATCTAGTAGTTAAATATATAAAAAATAAATAAAAAATAATAATCATTGTTATTATAATTACGTAGATTTTTAGTATACGTGTAAAAAGTGTAAATACAGAAGTTTTTCTTTTTTTTAATGTGTTCACTTCCTTTTTAGGACACTATAAGACATCGTAGATTGCAATAAATTGCACTTTACTGATATTTTCATGTTGTTAAGATACCCATAACGCAGAAATACATTTGCAGCTGTGAAAGACCTGGGAGTCTACTCTTTCTCCAAAACGAACTTTCGATAACGAAGTTCAAACGAAATTTTATTTATTCAATTTAAGGTTATACTTAATTTAAACGATAAAGTATTAGATTGAAGCTTTTCTTTAAGTAGGCTTAATAAATTTACACCTCGAACTTTATTCCGACGACGAATATTATTATAATTAGAAACGAACCAGAAACATATTAAGAACAGGCAGTCTCCACAACAATGGCATATTTAATAATTGGTGTTACAAACTTTCATTTCCTATTGCATACCTTCAAGTTATATTTTCGAGACAAATGTATCTTATTTTCTTCTTGGAGGTGGAACCCTCTTTAACATATCGTATCAAATCAGAGCTGTTCTGGTGTGGAAGCGTAACAGACAGACATAGCTTCTCATTTCTCGAAGGCGCAGTTTCGATCGAAATTTTGTTTTTCGTTGAATTAGAGTAGGCCTCCTGTGTAGTGTTGCCAGGTCCGATTTGTTTTAAATCGGTACGAGAGGTCATTTAGGGTTGCAGATCGGAACAGTTACCAAAAAACAAGGGGTTTTTAAGTCTGGGTTAAATTGATTGCGTTTTTAACTACTAGTGCAACTTTAGTATTATATTAATCACCTAAATTTATTTTTTTGATTAATCGGGACATTTAGCGTCCCGATCAGGTACAAATTGGGACGTCATAGTCATAGTCATTTATTCCTTAAACAATTTTCATCGTATTGGAAATCACAAACAATTTATAATAAAATTATTAGATAAAATTAAAATTACAATCCATTTATATATGATTAGCATAAAATTACAAAAAATCTTATATAATATCATTTCAAAGTCAATCAAACAATTTACAATTAAATAACGACTTCATGCAATATTAATAAATTTAAATATTATTAAAATGACAGCATACATTTGAAATAAATCGACTATAATTTAAATATGTCAAAGAAATTTCATATTAGGTTTAAATTTCTGTCATCTAAATATTCTTCTATGGAATAGTAACACTTCTTAAACAAGAACATTTTAAGTTTGTCTTGGAATTTATATGGACTGTAAATGGTTTTCAATTCTATAGGGAGAACATTAAATAGCTTGATAGCTTGTGTTGACGTGTCCCCAAACCCCTGAAAATCGGAACGTCCCGCGCTAATCGGGCTACCTGGCAACACTCACTACTCCTGTGCTACCTGCGTGGTGCCCCATAAACCTCGGATGCATGTCTGATAGATCTGAGTTACCATTTACTACTTGGATTGGCATGGCACCGATTCCAAGTATTAATTTGACTAAAGATAAAAAATGTTTATTATATTTTACTTATCGCCGGTTTAATTTATTTGTTAAAAAGTTTTTATATTGTTTTAATTTATCTATCGTCGTTATTTTAAATAAAGAGTGTATTGACCGATTTCGCATATTTCAGCCAATGTTTGTAGATTAGCCGAATCTACAAGGCCTAAAATGAGATAAGATCTAAAGTAAAGTACCTTACATCCGAGGCCATAAATGTCAGTTGATATAAATTGATATTGACATACATACGAGTAGGTACATTAATGTTATGATATGGAAAGGTAAAATAGCTTATACGCCGCTTTGGTGCTGCTTAAAAATAAACATTAAATAATAATAATATAATGTTTTATTACTCTTCACAACTTACATATTATGGGACGCTATATAAGGTGGAAATAATCTTACATAAGATGTACAAGTCTGATGCCTGAAATAATTAGTCTATATAAAATAAGAATAATATTAATATTAATAATATTATTATTAATAATATTCTTATTATAATATGCAATACCTGAGTTACAGGTCACCAGGCCCCGCTCATCGAAACCAAACGTTTAGTAATGTAGCTTAGAAAATAATATTTATAATGCTACTACAAAGACAAGAACTAAAACAGTGAATAAAACTAGTATTTTAACGTGTTAATGCACGAAACTTTATTTATTTATTGACATTTCGCAGCCTTTTCAGGTCTGCATCGTCAGACTACTGATTTTTTATTTAATTTTGTCGAGCTACCTTCGAAAGACTTTTATTGAGCGTTCGGTTATTTCATTGGAAAAATTTATTGTCTCTGTATGAATTTATTAGTTAATTTAGTTAATTATAAAATACAATAAAAAATAACCTATACATAAATGGGTGGGTGTGATGTGCGTGTGTGTGTTGTTTGTGTGTGTGTGTTGCTTGTGTGTGTGTGTTAGTGTGTGTGTGAGTGTGAGTGGTGAGTATTACGGTGTTCAATCGGTGAAAGTATGAATTCTAAATAAGCATTGTATAAAAATAAAAACTGAAATTAAGTTAATTCAAGCAGCACCTAAGTGGCATATAAGCGATTTCGCTTTTCCACTGTCGATATGTATATCTTTTAGAAGTAGGGAACTATTCCGTATCCTTTTGCTTTAAAATCCTTCCGTTTCCCTAATTTTTGTTTCTGACTGTGACTACGCACAAGTCTTGCAAAGCCAAAAAATCATTTTTTAATCATAGTGGCCTATCTTACTTAGGTCAGTATGGCACCTCAAATTTAGATCACAGACTAAAAACCGTAACAGTGATTATGCTGCCATCTAGTGGATATTCGTTGTATCACTTTTAGATCACTACGGTTCTATCAAAATTCCCAATTTGAACTGGAAAAAATCATAAACTATATATAATATTGTAAAAAAATGAGTTAGGCCACTATGGTCCTTATGGCCTCAATTATAAACCATAGTATACCAAAGATAAGTCCATCGACTGAGGCTTCAGTAACTTGTAATGATGTTTTAGCGATGATGATTATACCTCTGATGACATTTAAATCTAAATACCTGCTAAGTTGAAAGTCCTGTCTGCACACAAAAAAAGGCGTGTTAAACTTAAATTCTTAAAAAATAAATAAAGATTCTTTATTTGATAATACTCTGCACTAAAGATCTTTAGACTGAAGATTAAAAGAATTACCTATATACGCATAATATAACAACAATAACTAATAAAATCAGCTAATCTAAAGAAACAGTCTTTAACCGATTAAAGTACCTATAGTCAGCCATTTTGTCTCACAGGAATTTCATATAATTTTTATTACAACCCTAAAGAAGATTATAAGAACACGAGTAATAGCGCCAGATTATCATTTACAACGACAATTCCATGTATGCAGATATCGTTATTAGATGGATTAATTTGATAACAAAATACAATACCAATCTACTATTCTGCCGTCCTCAAGCTAAAACGCAGCTAAATGACAAAACCAACTTTTGAGATATGGCCATATAAATAAATATAAAAACGGCGTGTTAATTTTAAATTATTGCTATCATCACATGACGGATTTTTAGACTTAATCTATAAAAGAAAAATTAAAACAAAAAATATACTATAACAATGAACCTAAAACTAAAAACCTTAAAAAATTAAATATAATAACTAAATTACATTATTAAAAGGAGTCCCTTTAGGCAAGGTTCCGAAGATACTGGCAGCGTTCCCCCTTTGGATAGCTAGACTAATTCTTTGTCCGAGGTAGCTGCCAGCTCTTCGGTCTCCTGTGATGTCGACTAATCTTTTTGCTATTTCTTTAAAAAGCCTTATTGCGCTAGGACCCCACGGACCAAGGGTCTCGACACCGAATGGGACAAAATCATATTCGGAGCCTAGACCCCTGTATTTGCCTGCCTTAGCTTTTTCAGCCTCTTCACAAGCCGCACCAGCTCTGTTGTTGGTTCCATGTAGGTGGGAAGGGGCCAGCGTGTCTGAACAGGTTGCATCCCATACTAGCACCCGACCCATCTTCCATGGAATCAAACTCATACCGTCCGGTCTCTTGCCATCGTCTCTTGCAATACCAGTTGGCTCAAGTAGACTTGGCACGTTGACGGTGGCAAGGGACCGGTGTATGATATCGTTAAGTGCGGCGTGTCTCGAGAAGCGGCCTGCACTTTTTTGGCAAGACAGTCCGTGATGTCCTAGCTTGTCGACATCACTGCCAGAGGGGCATTTATGAGGAGCGCAGACCGGGACCCCAAGCCGTAGACAGGTTGCCATTCGGAGTGTGTCAGGCTCAAGAAATGTGCCTGTATTTGTCGAAGGGTACGCGTGAAGCCAGTAGCCGGCCTCATGCGTACCCACGGCCAAAAGCCTAGCACGCGCCGAACCTGTACTGCAGCTCAAAAGGTTATTATAAGTTAATTTACAATTTATGTCGTCCCAGCTCCTCTGTGAATTTGGAGAAACTGGAAAATTTTGACCTGGGCATGCAATTAAGAAAGCGTTTCTAGCTTCTTCCAAGCCAGCAATCTCAAAGTTTGAAGGGGATGCCCAATTTTTAATTTTATCTATAAAAGATACGAAGACTTTTTAATGACAGATCGATAGAGAATTAAAAACTGTTTAAGATGCAATTTAAGACTGAAAAATCGACCACATGTCACTCAGCCGCACCTTAGTTTGAGGACGGCAGTATTATGGTCTGCACAGACGAACATAAAAAACTTAAAAAAGGACTTTTTTTTCGACCGCCTTACCGTCCGGAGTAATGATCTCTGCATTGTTAAAATAATCAGTTTTATTCCTAGAATAATGTCGCTTGGCTAACTTAGTTAATTGAATGCGTAAGTCTTAAGCGCTTATTGTGCGGCGTTTTATTAAGACGTTTTTTTACGTAAAACCCAGCTGCAGGAAAAAAATATTCAGACTTAGGCAAGGGCGCATCCAGCTTTGGCACCAGAGGGGGGTCATATAGTCGTGGTCAAGTCACAGTGGGTACAGATGGACCCAGCCCGGGGGGGGGGGGGGGGTCATGACCCCCATGAACTCCCCCCCCCCATTGACATTGACATTTTGTATGCAGATGTAAGCGGTCTATTTCGGCGGACAAATTTATCCGCGGGCTAAAGTCCTTCATCTGTACAGGCTAGTAAAAGTCTTAACTATACAAAATTGAAGGCCCTAGCAAATAAAAGCATTCACCCCACCTTAAGAGACTTTGGAGTTACCACACCAGCTTTCCTCCCTCACCGTGCCGGCCTGCAAGGTTTTCTTTTGAGTGTGTAAAAATCCCTAACCCTATCTGCGGCCACAGATAGCGTTAGGGATTTTTGCCCTTTGTCCGGCTTTTTAATTTGTCCGGATTTTTTTAATTAGATGGAATATAAGTAAAACTACTCATTAAGTTATATCAAATAAGTCAAATAATCTTTATTAATTTCTCATTCATTTAAAACAAAATATAAATTATCTTTAAAAATCAACAACGAGACCCCACTCGCGATGCGAGCGTCTGCTACCACGCGTATAATATCACTGTAACTAAGTGGGTGATGTTTGCATTTTGTGACCAAAATGTCCGGACTTTTTGTCAGGACTTTTCAAAATTTTAAATAGTAACCCTAAGCCGCAGATGACCTTTACAGCGTCACCGGGTTTTGAGACGGCAAGATCCTAAGGGGACCTCAAGCCGAGAATTGGCGAGTGCCTCTAGAGGTATTCCAGGCGGATGGCATCTCCCCACGGGGGGAGCCTCCTCTCCGTCTGGAGACTCTAAACCACTCTGGTCTGCAAGGTGCTTCTTTAATCCTATTTTAAAGGACTCCGGGTTGTTGGATGTTGGAAGAAGCTCTCATGTTCTTCCAACATCCAACAACGGCAAAGTAATTCGTTTGCGGATATTGCATCAAAGAAGTGCGTTACCATATCTCTTTGTTCGCGTTGGAATAGTGGGCACAGTACCCCAAAACTTCTGATGATAAGTCGGTGACAACGTAAGCCAGCGCGTGTGATCCTCTGCAGGAAAGGGGAACTGTAAAGACCTTTTTCGAATTTTAGGTTAACTGAGGTAAAGCAAGGGTGTAAGGGTGGCCATTAGTGTAGTCTTTGACCAATTCGAGGCCCTGGGCATATTAGGATAAGGGGGCCCCTATGAACTTGGGACTTTGTGTTTGATCTGAGGGGCCCCTATTGATCGCGGGGCCCTGGGCACGTGCCCAAAGTGCCCACTGGGAAGGCGGGTCTGGTGGACATTGCCCACTCTTGCTACCTAGATACAGCCGCGACTATCATACAAGGACACCACGTACCCTTTCTATTTTCTCTCTCTTCTCCAGGTCTTGCAGCCTTCTCTCCATCAGCGCCAGTTTGGCTTTGAAATCGCTAGCCATACACTGGCAGAGGTTCAAAGATTCGCCGAAGATTCGCATCTTGCATTTCAAGTCGTTGAAATCTGTTCGGAATCTGGAAGAAGAACGTGTCATTTTAATACCATGTTTTGGTTATCATTATGAGTCGATGGACGTCCACTCCAACAGTGGAATTAGAGTGGATTATAGAAAGATTCTCAGTGATTGATCTAGTCTTGAGCATAGTTAGAAAGGGATGTCGTTATATATAGCACATAGCGACATCCTTTTCTAACTGTAAAGATCAACACTAAGTTGTCATTCTGTAAAACGGACCTAAGTCTGAATAAATTTTCCCTGCAGCTATTTTTGTCGTGAGAAAAACGACTTAAAAAAACGCCGCAAAATAGGCGCTTGAGCCACTTACGCATTCAATTAGATAAGTTAGCCAAGCGTAGATGGACGTCCACTCCAGCAGAGGACGTCCATCGACTGGTCCATTTCCTCAAGGGATTTCCATAAACAACAGGGCCTTTGTTTATGGAAATCCCATATGTATCCAGTGGTCTCGCTTGATGTCGTCAGTCCACCTAGTGAAGACCTGCCTCCGAGGTGATGGGTTAAAATCCCGATAGAGGCAGATGTTAGTATGATGAATACAAGCAGTTGCACTTATGTCAGTAGATCACCTATATAAATATATTTCTACAAGAATTTACTAATTTGTGTATCATAAATTATGTATTCCTATCCTTTACCGTAGTATCTCGTAACAGAAGGCTTTAGGGTGTTTGTTTACGACCGGTTTTCCGCGGGGTCAAGGCATGGTTTTTACCCGAAAATGTGTACCAATTCATAATTGTAGTATATACGTGCCAACATATTTCTATTTAATAATGAAAAATCGTGAACACTATGGAACATTATACTAGCGTTCCGCACCGCATTTGCACAGGTGAATATGTCTGTCTGTCACAGGCCTTCCCTATGGATAGAATAGGGAGATCACATATTCACCTTCACCTGGCGCAATATGTGATGACAGCCTAATCAGGGATAATGTAACTCTAAGGCAGTTGTTCCGGCAAGAACTGACTGCACTAGTTAAACTAGTTTGGCACTGAGCGATAGGAGCTATCAAAGACAAGACTCACTGAGCGGTGCTCGCTCGGCCGTGAAAACGAGTGCACATCAATTTTGGCTCAGGACTATCACAGCGAGTCCGCCCTTTGTACTCGCACACTCGCTGATGGGCCAGCAAGGGCGGATCCAGGCCCCCCCTGGGTTGGGTACAGATGGACCAAACCCAGGGGGATTTTATTTAAGTACTTTCAATATTTAATATACCACGACTATATGACCCCTCCTGGCGTCAAAGCTGGCTATATGGCCCCCCCTGGCGCCAAAGCTGGATCCGCCCTTGTGGGCCAGCGATAAAACTATTTGTACTGACTCCTTTAAAAGTCTGAATCGGCGATGAAATTCTTCTGAATTCAACTGGGTATAATGATCGGGTCTCGGTTTGACGATTCTCACTTTTCTTTCAGTTGGATTTAAATATTCATTCATTATGCCCTCTTCTTCGATTGCCAAGTCATCAACGGAATCGAAAATATCCATGATTATCGCTCTTCGTTAATTGTAAAGTGACTGACCTAACGTAATTGTTAAAATAACCTCAAACAAAATCACTGTCAATGTCAAACTATTCGTCGAATAACGCGGTTATCTGATGGTTGAAGCGGCAGATAGATTTATCCCTCAGTTAGCAGAGTTATTCGACAGTTAAGTCTTATCCAACTGTTGAAAAACTCGAAACCTTGCTATCTATCGAATAAAAGCTATCTATCTGTTTATCTGAAGATTGAACAATCGGCCCTAAGTGAACTACACGCTCGCTTACTCGTTTCTGGTTCTAGCTCTACAAGCTTCTATTTATCTTCAGCGGTGCGAGAAATGATTTTTGTTGAACGATTTCTTTTAAATCGGTCCAGTAGTATTTGAGTTAATCGGTTACAAACACCGGCCGGATTTGAAAGGGGAGGCTGGCAATGATTTTTTCCATACAGACGTTCTCTCGACTGATTCCTCTTCGATTTTAATCACTAAAGAATTGATTATCATACATAAAATATAAATTTACTCATTCTATACTACTATGTATTCCTTTTCTGATAACTTGTGTTTCAAAGAAACTAGAAGCCCTCGAAAAATAAACAATTGTTTATCACCAATAAAGACCTCTGGTGTAAAGATTTAATTAGCATTAATACAAAACAAGCAAAACATAAAGGCATATTATAACTACTTATTATCTATGTGAAAGGGTAAAATTTTTTTTTATATACCTACATTTCATTTTTGAGGAGTAAATCTTCGAGAGCTAAACCTCGAATTTTGCAATTTTTTCAAATACCTATTTCTCAAATGTCTCTCAGCTCGCTTCCGCTCGGGGCTGTGGCTGTGGCCCAGGGGCCACCACAAGAAAGAAATTTCGACAGATCACGGTCAAGAGTAAATAGCAAGATTTTAAAAAACGCAATCGTTATGGGCCTCGGTACGTCTAAATTCAGCCATTGTACCCTTAGTACAAGTTTGAGCTCACGAAAACTATCATAGTTTTCGAAATTTTAAATTATGTTTGGTGAAAACTAACCAAATATACTTAGAATTTAAGAAGACGCAAATGATTAATTGATATAATTTAAACACTGTTTATTTGTATTGAAACGAAAACAATAAAATTAGTACCTTAGTACGAGTGCGAGCTCACGAAAACGATCATAGTTTTCATAATTGTAAAACTCGTACTAAGGGCTTAGATTAATACAAAAAAGGTAAATACGGTACGCTCTTACTTGCATCAAACAAAAACTGATCCCACTTTACTACATATACAACACTCACACATCCACCTGTTTGTAAAGATACAATCTAACGAACGAAACAACAATATAAGTTTCAACGGCAGCGCGAACGGGACGGCGAGATCCGCGTCACTGCGCTACCGACCAATCACGCGACCAGTACTCGACGTCACTACAGAGTAGCGTCAGAGAAAAAAATAAAAGTATTTTTTATGAAATATAAGTTTTTTATTAAAATTCAATAAAAAAATTCCACATTGAGCAATTTTTTGTTGACTCTACCCAATTTTTACTCTCGACTGACATTACAATGGCAAATATTTGCGCTTATGCTTTTTCTCCCTCATACAAACGTTTAGAAGTGTTGTTGTCTTTTTCTTAATAACAAATACCGAATAAGATTCAAAACAAACAGCATTTTTATAAAAAAATATATTTTATAGTACTTACGAATGAAAAGTGATGCCGTCGGTTTTATTTTTAGTACTTGAGCAATTTGAGCATTTTTTAAAACAACACTTAGGCATTGTTTTATCATATAATCACAAAATTTTAGCAATTTGACGTTCACATGTACGTCATTTGCATGTCAAGTTGTGACTAAAGCGATTGTGGCCTTGGGCCACAATTTATGCGGATCACTTTTGTGAGGCTAGTGCCGTATCTACCCTTTTTGTTTTAATCTAAGACTAAGGGTCCGGTTACAAACATTTATATATATATATTTTTTTACATCATTTCCATAGGAACTTTTCATTAACACGAAGTTTCACTTGGAAAATATCTTAGGTACATAAGAAGAATGGTCGAAGTAAAATACCTGGTGATCGAGGAGGAAAGAGACGCATCACTGGACAGCATTGTCGCCCTTGATATAAGAGGTGATAGGTCATATTTTCGTCTGACAGCGGCTTGCACCTGGTGCTGGGAGACCCGCTCGTCGCTGCTGGAACTAGAGGCGTTGATGAGTATCTTCGTGCTCTGCTTTCCTGGTATGTTTCTGCGTTTCATGTTGTTTTTGTTGGCGTGGATGTTTGACAAGAATTTTGATTTGATAGTTTTCTGAACCAAAGAGTAGAATAGTTCTCATGTAGTCTGTTGTTCGCATATGTTCTTTTAAGTTGTTCTACCTAACTTAGTCATGGACATAATTAACTAATTAAATATGATTTTTAGTCAAATATCGGATATATTATAAAGGTTTTAGTTCGTGCGACGTGCGTATTAGCCAGATTAATAACCACAAATTAAACAATTATCTTAATATTGATTAGCGCCATCTATACTAGAATAAATCACATAAAAGAAAACGGGGCAACTGCAAGCATGCTTAAGATACGAGATATCATAGCTTGCAACTACTCTACACTAGGTGGCGCTATATGTATCAAAAAGCTTTTGCTACTTATTAAAATTTTTAATATTCATTGTTTTTTACAACAAAATTATTAAATTACTCTTTGTAAAAATCCTACACGTAGAAAATTAATCACTGTCATGAATATTATTAATTTTCTCATATTTGAGTATTGTTTATTTGTTTTCTTTACTATTTGCTAGTTCTGCTACTGCCCAATAGAGGGAAGCCTAGTCTAGCCTAGTGATTTATCTATAAGGTTAGTGAAAGGCGAAAGGTGAAAAAAACTTTGTGATTACATTAAAATGTATTTTCCACTTAAAATTAATCTAAAGTTATATACAGGGAGGCATAGTTTGTTTGTTAAAATATAATAGTCGCTGGAATTACTGAGCCACTAAAGAACATTCTTTCACCAGTAGAAAGCTACATTTAACAGTTCATAAATTTTACCGCCTAAAATTTTCACGAGTTTCATTGGAATTTTCTTATTTTTTTATTTGATTAGAGTTTTCTCAATAGTGCGTTGCAGAGATTATTTTCTACAAACACAGTTACAATTATTCCTCTCTTTAAAAATTGTATAGATACTTAGATATTTTCTTTTATGTATATCTACAGCTTTAATTTCCTATCGTGATCAATCATTTAATTTTCAGAAGATATCTATTGAAAAATCTTTTCTTCCTGTTAAACTGAAAAGTATTGTGTTTGTTTCTATATAGCCAGGTAGGCAAATGACTCTACCTCACCTGATGTTAAGTGGTGATAAAGTCCAAACGCGAAGATAGCTGGTACAGCAATTATAAACTGCCACACCAACCATCCTCAAACTTGGAACGAAACGAGTAAAACTTGGGTAGGAGAGCATAGCGGCTTACCCGCTCGAATCGGAGCGCCCGTCTGTGGAAGTTACAAGACCACAGTAAAACAACACTGCCTTTTGGCTTTAGGTCTTCATGGGGTAATGCATAGAGTTCTGTACCCCTAGCACGAACCATTATCGAATTCGAATAGTTTGCAAACCGAAATGTCAATGACTTTTGTATGGAACTTGAACGTAACGAGAACTAAAAATCAGTACATACTTGACAATGACATTTCGGACTCGCAAACGTTACGAATTCGATATTGGTTCGTGCTTAGGGTACTTCGAAGCGTGCTAGGGGTACAGTACCTCAAACACGAATTTTGACAGATCAGTATCCGTATTGCCATCATCAAAATTTCTATTACAGCTGAACAGCGTATGGACGGATCTGTTACAACTGCCGGACGTAGACTCTATATAATACAGGGAGAAAAAAACAGCCCTTGCTGAGTTTCTTGCCGGTTCTTCTCAGTACAAGGTCCCCCGCCGTAGATTTGCGAACCGATGGCGTAGCTTTTAGACATTCACAAGTGCTTGTAACAGCCTAGACTGAATAAACGACATTGAATTTGAATTATGAACAAACCGGTTTTTTCTATAGAAACTTGGACATGACGATACGAATACTTCCTCGGTGTTTGTGCTAGGGGTACAGTTATATTCCCGACTGTGTAGTATGTACACTCGCGGAAAGACCCGCTCTGTCACCCATAATGCCATAATCGCTTGCGGTAGCGGCGTAGTAAAAATTCATTCATAGACATGTAATTATCGCGGTCTTACTTTTTCGTATAGCGCTGTCGCGATCACGACGCGGATGATAAATTGCAACTAAAACAAATGCAATTCAATTCATTATTCGATCAATGAAATGCTCTCTGTCTTACTTTTGTGCGGCGGCCCGGATTGGCGCGTCCGACGCGAAGGCGGGGCGTAGTAAAAACTACTGTAGAAAACCGTTCAAAGCATTTTCAAAAATGCCGCGATAGTACCTAACTTACATTTAACGTTTACGTTCAAGTTCTTTAATAAAAATAATAATCATTTAATTCGGACAAGGATACATCGATATTATGATTAATTGCACGATTACTTATTATCTAGTGTTATTATCGAAATTTAATTACTTACATACTACACTTGTGCCCGTTGTGCACTTTTGGATACAGTAAGCAATAATGCGGGAATCATATCGACCCCCTATAATTTGCAGAATGGAGACAGACAGACTTTAAACAGGGCCGGATTTATGGAAAGGCAGACGGGGTTGTTGCCCAAGGTCCAACAAGAGAGGGGGCCCCCACCACAGAGAGTTACCCACAACAGAGAGGGCCACACCACGGAGAGGGCTCTCACCACAGGAAGGGCCCCCACCATAGAGAATTGCCCTACCACAGAGAGGGCCCTCATCACAGAGAGGGCTCCCACCACAGATATGGCCCCCAACACAAAGAGGGCCCCTCCACAGAGGGCCCACGCCATTATTTTAATGCAAACAATCAAATATTTACTTCAAAACTAAAAAATCCTATTTTAGGAAAAACTAACTTAACGCTAGCGGTTATTCCTAGTTTTAAGTCCCGATTCCCCTCACGATGCGAGCGTCTGCTACCACGAGTTTCCTACCACTGTAACTAATTTTGCATTTTGTGACTATGTTCGGACTTTTATCGAAATGTCCGGCTTTTTGTCAGGACTTTTCAAAATTTTTAATAGTAACCCTATCCTAGTCCAGATGTTGGGTCCTCGACCCTGTGTGGAAACATTGCTCAGTAATATTTTTAAGTTTCTTGTACAAATTAAGTAATATATTGTATTCTATTCAGAATCATGAGTGTGAAATTTGTCTTAATTTGGATGTTCCACAAAATGCATTCATTCACATTCATTCATTTGGAATTGGGAATAAATAAAAAAACAGCACATATACTGTAAAGTACCTCCATTTAATGTATTTAATACTAATTGTAACAATTTATTACATAAAATTATGCGTACGTATTATTTTTGTTGAAAATTTATACATGTATTACATAATATATAATATAAAATAGCTCTTACCGACTAAAACCGATCGCATTAGATGGTCGACCATTTTGGTTAGGTAAATTTAAATAACCAATATGGTCAAATGTCTAATGTTTGCATTGAGAATTTTTACTTAAAAACATATATTTCGCTATCTTATTAGAAAATATTGTTACCTACATATAATATACTTTTTTTTTAATAGTAAGTCTTAAGCAAAAGAAGTAAATGATACTTAATTGAAATTAAAAAAGCGGTAGTTTTCAATATGAAACCAATGATTACAATTATTTGTTTTAAAAATCACATACAATATAATAAAAAAAATAAACTTTCAACAGATCTATGATCGTTTAAAAATAATATACCTATCTATTTACAGAATTTCATATTATTATTATAATCATTATTTTAAATTGAATCATAAATAGAAGAAAACAAATAAAATAAAAAGAGGAATGGGTATTTTTAAAATTCGTAAAATTTCGTTTCGTTGTTTTCTTGAAGTCGTATGTAACAATCACTGATCATGGTATAACAAAACGTGTCTAGGAACTAGGATAATTTAAAAACAAAATACTTTTTTTTCTTCTTTCTCTTAAATAACGGACCTCTTTTTGTACTGAAACGATTAGAATCTTTCTTTATGGCACACCTCGTAATAACTCTTTCGTTACCAATGTATCTTTTGTTTAATTTAAATTATTTAAAAATCGAATACTCTTTTTGTTTCGTTTGTAATATGTGTAAAGTCTATTTTTTCCCTTTCTCCAGACATTTGCATTGTGCGTTGTGTTTATGAGCTCCTGTTAGTTCAGCAAAACTTGGATTGTATGTGACTCCAGGCGCTACGTATTGTGGATTGGGGATGCTTCCCGATGTTTCGTATGTAATAATCTGTGGTTTAGTAGTGTAGGTAACAATTTTCGGCTTAGTCGTGTAAGTGATTATCTTCGGTTTAGTCGTGAACGTGAAATATTCGGGTTTAGTCGTAAACGTCACTATTTCGGGTTTCGTAGTGTACGTTATGATCTTGGGCTCCGATTGGAACACTTTCTTTTCCGAGTAGCTTGCGCTGAAGCTGTTCGTGATTGGTGCACTTATGGCTGCGTTGAAGCCGTTCGATTGGGCCTCGGAAAATTTAGTGCCGAATTGGCTGAAGCCGAACTGGCCGGAACCGGAGATGGCTTCGCTGGCTGCGCTCCCGGAAACTTTGCCGCCTTTAACTCCGGAGAAACCGCTTCCGGAAAATCCACTTCCGGAAAATCCGGTTCCGGCAATTCCACTTCCGGAAATTCCGCTTCCGGAATTGCCGCCCTTAACACCAGCGAATTGGCTTCCTTTAACAGATCCGGAGTACTGTCCGCTGACACCGCTGTTAAGTTGTTCGGAAATCTGTTTGGTGGTGACTTTAGTGCCCACTGTGTATTTGGCGAATCTGACGCTTTCGATGAGACCGATGGCCCATTCATACCATTCTAGGTCGAACCTGTAGAATGCAGCCAATTGGTTGCCAGTCTGACAGCCTGTGAAGAAGAAAATGAGTTAAATTTAATTTTGAAAGACTATATAGCTTAACCTAGTTACCTACTTAAATAAATAATTTACAAAGTAGGCACTGTAAGGCTTGTGTTTTGGGATACTAGGGTAACGGATAGAATACATATACTGTACATATATAAGTATATTTATACAGAAATATTTATTGTATTATAGCTCGATGGCGTGGGTGGTGAGCGCGTTCGGCTGTGATCGTTGATGTTAAGCAACTTTCGCAGTGGTCGGTCATTGGATGGGTGACCAAAAATCTTCTATCTCGAGTTCCTCCGTGCTTCGGAAGGCACGCTAAGCTATTGGTCTCGGCTGCATCTGCAGTCGTTAGCACCCACCAATCCGCACTGGGCCCGCGTGGTGGGTCATGGCCAAATCTCCCTATTCCATCCATAGGGAAGGCCTGTGCCCCAGCAGTGGGGACATTAATAGGCTGATAATGATATAGGCGTACGCTAAGAAAGGATTTTCCAAATTCACCCCCTAGGGTAAAACAAAGGTTAAAAAGTTTGAATCGATCAAATCTAACGCGATCAAAGCAGTGAGCAAGAGCTACTATGTAGTTTGATATAAATGAATCCACTATTTTTTGGGTGAAGCGACTTAGTTATTTTTACTAACCAGAGTCCCAAGAGTAGACGCCTCGTAATACGTAGTGCTCGTTGTCTGTGGTGCAAGCAAGCGCGCTGCCGATGTCAACCTGAAACAAAAAAAAAAAGTTATCTATGGTTTTCAAGAAAGGTATATCCAAGAAGCTTATATACAACACTGGAGATTGCATGTAGAACTTCTGTATGAAGATGAGTTCATTAACCCCATGATATGTTTTTTATCTCTCTCACACACTATCTGAAATTACCATGTTAAATACAAGAAATTCCAATCAGAAAGTGAAAATAAACAGAACTATGCAAGATATCAATCAGTTTTACAATCTCCAGAAGTCCTACTCTTGTATTACTATTATAAGATGAGTGTGACAAATTCTAACCAACTACTTTGAAATCAATATTTAAAACTAAATAATAAATTCGCCCTTTATTTCCCTGTTTGCTGGTTGCTACCATTTTGGTATAATAGCAACACTTATTAAAAAATCAACTGAAGAATATCTCCGATCTGTCAAAAAAAATCTACCGCTTCGAATGTTTAGATTATTATTATAAAGTGTTAAATTGTTCAATTTGCTATTTATAATATGTATTGTGTTGTGCGAGATTGCAGAAGTGTTTGGGAACCAAATTCCAGCACTAAATTTCACAGGTAAATCTATTACATTACGCCAATACCGAAATAAACATTTTCCTATATTTTTATGTTGTAATCATAATAAAACCTTAGTATTTATAAATCATAGTGTCCTGAGGCTATAAATTAACGTTATTCTTGTTTTATTTACTACATTTCGTACCATATTCAGCAGTTTATTAAATTAAAATAATATAAATTTTGGTTTCGTAGGGTAACCATTATCACTACACTTGAGATATTTTGAGAAAGTTGAAATACATAAGTATTATTGTAAATATTAATTACAAAGTTCAAAATATGAAAAAAAGTTTATAATAAATACTGTAGTAGATCATATTAATTAGATGTAGAAAACCTATTTAATAACAGCTATCCCCCCTCTCCGCATCATCCCCCTCTCGGGGGGTGATCGCTTCAGATGAAGCTTGTAAGGCCCTTCTTGCCATAAGCATGAATAAAGGGTGTTTTTTAGTCAGTAGGAGTCTGACATAACCTTACAGCCGGCTGTAGGGTATCCATGAGGATTTCTCACCCTCTCCCCCGCCTGGGAGGAAACAAAAAAAAAAAAAAAGCAGCGGTCTTATACCTTTGTTTATGTTTCAGCTTCCCGAAAGATGTCATTAAAAGAAATTCTTGGTTGTCCAGTATACTGTCACAAACGCTCTCCAAACGGAACCGCGAATGTGCTAGAGATCGAATTTGCCAGAGCACCGTGGGTCGCGATAGAAGTCGAGTAAGGCGGCTCATTCTAAAATGAGCCTTATGCTGCAGTGCGACGTAAAGGAGAAAGTGCAACGATATCTGCACTTGTTTACAAGTTATGCGTGTTACTTGCGTATGTATAAGTAGGTATTTCGTACTCGCGGGTGCTAGGTAATTCTCAATTTAACAGGTACTTTCTAGAATGCATCGATCGGCGTATATAAGGGCGATTGGCGCCGCGCAGAGACAGTTGAGTTTCAACAGCGATTTCGGAGCGAATCAAAAGGCGATCAAAGTCCAACAAAAGTGTTCAAGTGAAATTGTTTAGAGACTTGTATAGTGAAAAACAGTGTTTAGTGAGTGTTTTGTAATTAACATTGTGTGTTAATTGTGTGAATTGTGTGGTGAATAAAGAACTGTCAATCGTGAACTGGCATATAATTTCGAACCCCATCCCGACACGTAACAATACCATTAAAAGGTCAATTTTATTTATCAGCCAAAATATGTAGCTTAGAGTTTCTAGTCCGTTCTTAGTAAAAGGCATTTCTGGCGATTTTAAAAAGGGTTTGCATATTCTTGTTAATTTTTTTATAAACGCTTTTGACATTGCATAAGATGCATCTAATATGAATAAAATGATTTTCGTACTTGTGAATTTTATTACTATTAAATAATGTGTTCCCAAGTTCGTATCAACTCCAACGCTTTGATTTATAAATTGTTTAAAGACGATACCAGTAAGTATGTATCCTAAACGTATATTCCAACATGGTCACCCTTAGAAAGAGATAACAAACATATGTGACGTCATTCAAGGCCACATTTTTTCACTTCAAGGTATTGTTTGCACTGCAATCTCCAGTGTTGCTTAAAAGCTTCTTGGGTATATCAGATAAAAAAACAAGTGTGCTTATGACCAGACGACTGAAGCGAAACTTCTTTAGCTCCATCTGTATGTATATAAGTGTATATATATGTACAATATGTACAATATGTACATATATCTACATATATCATTTACTAGCTATAAGATAAAGAGAGAAAGAAAATGTGTGCGCGCACTGCTTTCTCTTGCTTATATCCCACATTCAACTCCCGTTCGCCTCGTCCGAACACACTTTTCGTAACGCGTAACGCATTCGCCAGCTTACACCCCGCGTCAAGCGTGCGTAAAGAAGTTTCACTTCAAAACGCAACAAAGTGACATCTCTTTTTTCGAGTCGGTTGGAAATACATCGTGATTTTCACACCCATTATGAAGTTATTTAGACAATACACTGTCTTTATTGGTTTATTTCAATTAAATACCATGATAATGAGACCGAAAAAAATGAACAACCCTTTACTTCACCTACAGCTTAATAATTACGTTTCATTTTGCTTAAAAAAGGCAAAAGTTGTTATTCGGAAACTAAAGTGACAATTGGTCACTATCATTTCCGAAACACAACAAACACGCTAAAACTGCTGTAGATCCAATTTTTTCAATAAATTTGATATTAATGGTAATTTTTCATACCTCACTAACATTTCCGAAACACAACAAAGCCTTTCAAGTAGCAAAGCTAAATCTCTATTTAAATAAAACTAGGTTTAATCTACACAAAAATGAAAATCAATATGTTTTGACATTCTTGTATGAGCTTAATGTAGTTTTGAAATTAAATTGGTGAAAAGTGGACGTTAGGCCTACTTGCAGCAATTTTGCTAAAACTCTTAACATTATGTTCTAAAATCAAATCAAAGCGCTTGCTTTCGCGACTTCCTGTAACACACTTCCGTCCCATTTCACGAAATCACTCCCATAAATTCCAGGAAAGCGAGAGGAAAGATATTACACATCAATAAACATGTCCAACACCCACTAATTTCCCTAGCCCCAAAGTAAACACTGTAAGGCATGTGTTATGGGATACTAGGGTAACGGATATAATACATATACTGTATACATATTTATATAGAAATACATATTAAACATCCATGACTGGACTACAAATGCTGGTATTCATCACACAAACATCTGCCTCCACCGGGATTCGAACTCGCCTCGAGTAGGCGACACCATGAAACCCGGCGTACAAACCTAGACCCGTCTTTCCCAGTGGGCACTTTGGGCAAGTGCTCAGGTTCCCGCGACCGATAGGGACCCACTTCAGATCAAATACAAAGTCCCTAGTTCCTGTTACATCACCAAACGGAAGTCATAGGGGCCCCATTATCCTAATATGCCCAGGGCCTCCAATAGGTCAAAGACGGCACTGTATAAACAACTCGGCTACAATAGCCTCATATTCGTTCTATATAACTGGTATTTCTTCATACCTTGCAGATGTTGTTGACAGGGTTCAAGGGTTGGCCGCAGGCGCAGCTTTCCTGGTCGTATTGCTCCAGAAGGTGTGGGTAATCGCTGTTAAGTTTTGCCTGACATTCGCCAGGATTGATGAGGGACACGTTCAGGCTGTGCATGATGCTGCCGGCGAGGTGAGCTGGAAGTAAATAAAATAAATTATTTAAATCTAAAGACAAATATAACTAGAACAAAATAATCCACGCGGACCAGGCAGCATACGGGATTCGAACCCGCACCCTTCGATATCCGGGCGAATGCACTGACCAATTATGCTACCGCGGCCCTGATGGCCGCGTCGAAATTCTTCTAGAATGAATACTTTTACACTTGTAAATTATAATATATATTTAAATTAAACACTAGCTGACCCAGCGAACTTCGTATCGCCATAAAAATACGGATGGTAGAGGGGTGAAAATTAAGGGTTGTTTGTGTTTTTAATATTACGATACATATTTAACGTAGTTTTTTTTTCTTCAGACGATTTAATAATTATTTTGAACACAAAATCGGTTATTGTGATTAAACCATGATAGCTAGATATATGTTCTCGCGAACTTTTTTGTAGGTCTTAATGGGATCTTCAAACCCGTAGTACATCATTTTGTTCTATTGTCAATAGTTTATGCAGCGCACGCAAAAATAGGTGTTCGATTTTACACCTTGTGTTACAAAATAGCAATTTTATTACGGATCCCTAATTTTGAAAAAAAAATAACCTATAGCCTTCCTCGATAAATGGATTACCCAACACTGAAAGAATCATTCAAATCGGACCAGTAGTTCCAGAGATTAGCGCGTTCAAACAAACAAACAAACACACAAACTTTGCAGCTTTATAATATTATATATATATATAGTATAGATTTGCAAGAAGAAAATAGCAATTATAGTTTATGGTGCTGTCTGCTGCCTGGTCCGCGTGAAATTTTTACTAGTTTCTTTAGATTTAAACATCAAGCAGTTACATGCTTAAAAAATAAAAATTATAACTAAAATAAAGTACTGTTATGCAAAACGCACATTAATCATTTTTCTGGAATGACGGGCGTCAGGTGTTTTTTTTTCTAAATGGCTTCGCAAGGCATTGTGCATTTAGCCAATGTCAAGTGTTAAAATTTTTACAAATAATATAGCACTCGTGGTCAAAGTAACAAATCAATTCAAAGTAACTGGCAGTCAAGTCAATCCCCCTTTCCCCATGTTTCAGTAAAAGTGTGGGGATTTACTGGAACCTCCCCGTGGACTTCTTGAGGGAACGTCGAAAGACACTTTCCGCTATTTTGTTTCACTTGCCGACACTTGTGCATGTTCCCGAACACTTAGTGGTTAATAATCCACCATTATTAGACACTAACATCCGCCACAACACAATTTTCAACAAGAAAAACAAAATTGCCTAAGTGACGCTTCCCGATCCCGCCAAAAAGTCCAGGCGAAAGGTTTACTCATCCGTCAAATCGCGTATGACGTCATTGTCTATGGATCAATTTAAATGCTCGTTCGATTGATTCCCGCCAAAACTTTCATACATAAGACCTCTCGTCACAGAGGCTCCAACTAATGAGGTAAATTTTCCTAAACGCCCTCATTACCCTAGCTCCAAAGACAGCACTGAAGGCTTACATATGTTAATGTATGGTAAACTAGGGTAGCGGAAACTGTTAAAATGTCTGTTTATTGTCCAATATTTAGCCTTTTTTCAGTAAGATTGAGCAATGTAAACGCCAAATCCGTTTTCGCAAAATTCCTAGGATTTTCGTGAAAATTGGATTTCTAAAATCATCTTATGACATATAGGTATATAATATACCTGCCGCACTAGTTATGCTCACTTCACAAGCTTACAAAAATCTTTCCTACGCTTTTTCAGTAGAACTCTAAGTTATAGTATAATCAATAATCAAAATCATTTATTCAGTTTTAAATGATTTTGATTATTGATTATACTATACGATTATAGAAAAAGTAGAAATCCCCTTGTACCGAATGCACCATTAATGGTGCAGACGAAACTTATTAGTTTCGTTTGCACCTATAGATAGTGTCATCTGCACCATTGTGATAATAAAATACCTCGAAATACCTAATTTTATCTTAATATATATAAATCTCGTGTCACAATGTTTGTCCTCAATGGACTCCTAAACCACTGAACCGATTATAATAAAATTCGCACACCATGTGCAGTTCGATCCAACTTGAGAGATAGGATAGTTTAAATCTCAAATTATAGTCGCAATTTTAATTTATTGCAAATATTAACTTTTGGGCGGTACGAAGTTCGCCGAGTCAGCTAGTAGTTATATAATGAGGTATTTCTCTTTGCACGTTATAATTTGATTTAACAATATTGTGAAACTTTTATTACACATAATCGAGGATTTAGAGTTGATTTCTTAGTTATGACGATTAAAGAATAGGGGAAAAGTAGTATTTATAATATTAATGGTGCAAACGAAACCAATCAGGTGCATTTATGATACAACTCAATGGTGCATTCGGTATCGCCTCGCGGAAATATGTGCACGAATTCTATTTTAGTTTATGTACCTAATCATAATAATATATTGAGTTCCAGAAGCAACTGCTCTTTCAATTTTAATAGAACCAGTCCATATCTTAACAATTATAATTTATTTCACATTAAATTCTGATGGAATCGTTGTGTGGGTGTCGCAGTTTCGTGACTGGCCATATAAAAGCCTATTATTATATACATTTGACATTTCAATCTAACACGTTTCTATTTAAAATTTAATTAAATTCTTCAACTTTGGGGATTGTTAGTCACAAAATAATATGAACTAGATGATATTCTTGTGTATGTTTAAAATTGGTTCTATTAATAATGTATTTAAGAGAGAATTATCGTTTATTAATTCATGTTTTACATTAGTCAAATTGGTAATTTAAACATATAAAATGAATATCAAATAAAGCAATATTTAAAAATAGCAATTCAAAATTTTCTTTTACTTGAAATTTGTTTAGTAATTTCTCTTTTCTGAGGTTTTCACCTTAGTTACAAGGCAATGTTTGTTTCGATTAATATATTTGATGAGCCATAAATTTTCGAGAACTCGTGGTAGGAAAAAAGGCCTTTTCACAAGAGTTCGTCTTTTACAGTCAATATGAATAAGAAAATTGTTTATTTAAGAAGTTGTTTTCAAGTTATCCTGTAAATTATCTGGCCCGATTTCGTAACTCTGCATACTGATAATTTTTAACTAAATAGCAGCCGAATTGTTAATTACATTTTAATTTTTCACGCAAAGATCGGTGTCGCGTTGTGTAAGCTTTTACAAATATTGCAGTCTGTCAACACCGATTTCTTTAAGTATGAAACTACTATGTTTCTTTTGTGTATCTCGGCCTTAACTTTTATGAGCCGCGGGTATATATTTATGTATTATCTATAAAGATGTTAAATAAAACTGTCAATATGAATGCTCACATGTGGAATGTGACCATCGCAAGACCTTCAATTCACACTAGCAGAAGTGAATTATTTTTCTCGTCTTTATCGACAGTACTTCTATGAAATTATTTCCTCTTCCACTGAGAAGCTGAAGAATAAAGTAACAAACATTAAGAGATTTATTAAATTTTCATCAGAATAAGAAAACAAGATTTTTTCAAAGTGGCAATCTTTTAAGGTAATAATAACAGGGTATAATAATATTGTGGAAGTCATATTGGTGGCAATCTTTTAAGGTAATAATAACAGGGTATAATAATATTGTGGAAGTCATATTGGTGGCAATCTTTTAAGGTAATAATAACAGGGTATAATAATATTGTGGAAGTCATATTGGTATTCCTAATTTAATTTCTTTGAGAAGCAGATGCTCCTTTATAACATGCTTTCCTAGTATATTCAGTGCAAAGCAGGTTGGGGAAATGACCCTGTTTTATGGAATCAATGTGGAAAAGTGGAAATGCATTTAATTGGAATAACAGGTGTCATCGTTGAAAAGATTTTTTATTTTTTAACCGACTTCAAAGAGTAATGGGTTTTCAATTCGGTTGGTATATTTATGTACACCGAATTGTTGTTATTGTTACGCAATATTTCTGATCCGAATAACGTGATTCTTTTTTTGTCCGATGCGGAATAGTGGCCATTTGGTCCCATACAAATTTGAATTAGTTTGATCAAGTAGTTTTCATATTATAAGCATTTTTTGTCATTCGTACGAGTATTATGAAATTTTAGGCCATCAATTCGATGACCGACCTTTGGAGAAGTCGTTCAGCTTTCACGAGCGTTGACCGAAACCTCCTACCAAGTCATGCATCCTTAGTACTCGGGCGAAGCGAGAAACACCGTGAAGCGGAATTTTATCAAGGAGGTTACACAACCCGGTGACGTACGGATGGACATAATGTTTGTGTTCGTATATTGGACATCGACTGGATGAGAAACCGGTTGGAGCCGGTAGCGTTAGCAGAACAGTCAGTGTGTCAACGCAACTTATTTGATTATGTGGCATTGTGTGGAAGGAATCCAGATTATTTAAAATAATGTATTCTTGTATTTAGCCTGTATGACACAGTCAGTGTTGCCACGTTTCCAGTTCTTTTTTTTGCCAAGTCGGGATTTAGAATTTTTTTTGAGTGAAAAAAGCGGGAATCTTTCGTCGAAAGCGGGACATAGTAAAAAAAACCAAATTAATCAAAAGTTTTTGAATATTTACGGACGTGGTGTTGGTAGCGACATATTTTTTTGTAAATGTGGCTACTTCTGTTAAATGCTGGTAAAAAAAACCTAATTAATAAAAAGTTTTTGAATATTTACGGACGTGGTGTTGGTAGCGACATATTTTTTTTTGTAAATGTGGCTACTTCTGTTAAATGCTGGTAAAAAAAAACCTAATTAATCAAAAGTTTTTGAATATTTACAGACGTGGTGTTGGTAGCGACATTTTTTTTTTTGTAAATGTGGATACTTCTGTTAAATGCTGGTGAGTGTCTTGCGCCCATTCTTTTCATCAGCTAAAAGATGACCTGGGTCTTTTAGCTGATAAAGGAAAAAATATTAGATAATTCAAAAGAGCTTTTAAATAAATCAATTTGAATAGAGTATCATTTCTTTTTTAAAGAATGGGCGATATTTCAAAATAATTGGGAGGAGCCCAAAGGTATCAGAGGCGTATTTATGAAGTTTGTTTTTACTACATTGCCGGCTACGAAGATACCTACTACTAATATGAGAACGTAATGGTATCGAATTAAAATGGCATTTATTAAGAGAATAAAGTTTAAAGAAAACTACATAACGTTAATTAACGAAGTTATCAACGATACAAATGAAATAGCAAGTATTCATTGTAAAAATTCGTTATTTCGTACGGAAAATGGGAAATATCAGACGTTGGTATAAAAAGTCATATATAGTTTATATTTTTTATATATGTAACTTACAATATATGTAAAAAAAACTCTTTAATATTCACTGGTATTGATTTTCGATACTATCTAGGAATCTAAAATATTTTAAGTTAAATCCTTCAATCATTGTTGATCGAAGATTTAATCATACATTCTGATGCGTTTGATTGACCTAATCTACAAATCTAATCTAAATCCCAAGTACATAACAGATATTACACCTAATTTATTGTTATCAAAATGTCAAACACCTACACAAAATTGGCGCCAAGAACTACATATTCATAATGGTAACAACAGCACAGACAGGCAGGCATTTTTTTATAAACATCATCGCGCGAGTGAAGGAAATTTATTCATATGCGTTGCGTTTGTATGTAAATTCAAACTATTGACTTGCGAGCAATCTTGTATATTTTTAACCTTGGTTGGTAACAATGTCGATCTTTGCATATCGCCTTGGTTGGCCATTTTTTTAACGTTTGCTGATAAGAATACATCTCTACATCTTTAAAGTGGGGTTTTCTTTGCTACCTGTTATTCTGTTGAAGTATGTTCTCCTTAGCAAAAAATATTCTATGATTATTAAAAAGTTTTAGTTTCGTATAATGTTGTTATTTTATTTATAGCCATGATATTCAAATTATATTAAACGATATCGACATAGATATTACGTTTCCCTGTCTTCAGTGAGCTTATTTATGTTATGTTATTGAAAATTTTGGAGCTTATCAACAAGCATCGGCGGTTCAATGGTTGGAAAGTGGGCGGCCCGGGTTCGAATCCCAACCGAGAAAGGATCATTTTTTATTAACGATTTTAAAAGTTCCACTTGCATCTTTGCATAAAACCACACCATTTTTTTAGATTGAATTTCTTTGAAGACTGATTGTTTTCCTATGGAAATGTTTTAAGTTTAATTCATATAGTATCCTAGATTAATATTATATTATTTTAGCTTTTAATTTGGTGAACAGAGATTTTCTTATATTTTTTTTAATTATTAGCAATTGTATTAATGTAGGTATGTCTCCTCAGTAATTACACCATTATACGTATTAACTTGAAATTTATATGATAATTAATTATTATATATAAAATGTAGACTAGACATTGCGCTGTTATATCAATCTTTTTACATACCCATTTTTAGATTTTTTTTTATAAAAAATTATGTACATTTTTTCTGCAAACGCTACTTATCGACAATGACCCACAAGCTCACTCCCAGTATTGGCACTCTCAGTTTTCACCTATATGGCTCTTAAATGTTTCCAATTTAATGACTTTGCGTTGCATTCCGTGAGTGAGGCTATCAAACGATAAACCGATTGCTGGAATTAAATTAAAAGGAAAGAAATTACACCTCCTCAGTTTTCTGATAACCTAGTTACCATTGTTATATTAATTAGTTTTTAATTACATTTAATTACTTTGTACAGTGAAGATAATAATGATAAGCTACTTTATTAATAGATTAGATCGAAAGTTAATAATGATTTAAAACACACACACACACAGACTTTCGGCGCTTTTATTATATTTTCATTAAGTTATGGGTCATCTTTACTTTGTTATGGGAGAGACAACATAACTTAAATCAAAGTAAAGAGTAAGTTACATCTTTGCCTACGTCACCAAGTATATTTATTTTTTATTGTTATTATTTACATATTTATTTGATATACTTGAGCTATGTCAATAGCATAGTTCGACAACGAATATTTTATTTATTTTCAAGACATTAGCTTAAAAGACATTATTTATACCCAAGCTAAAGGTTAATTTGCCTTTACTTTAATATGCACTTAGTACATTATTAATATAAGTACCTGATTAATATAACACTGAATCAATTAAGGATTGAAAGTGCTAAAGATATCATTAGGCTTAACGTTGCCGACCTAGAATTACGATTAAGATAGCTTCTGTAATTTTATGACGCCCTAGTGAATTATTTGAAATTGCTACATAAAGCAAAAAAATGGGTGCGTGTACTTATGTAGGCGCGTGAGAAGTTATCCTTCTTTGGCATCGTTTAAAATTAGTTTTTAATTGCATGCAAATAATTAATTACAATAAATTAATAAAAAGTCTGAAAAAGGACACAGTCAATAAAGTTCAGTTTTAATTTGATAAAATAAATAAATAATCAAAATATTCAATTAAAATCGCTAATGAATATAATTTATTAGAACATATGTGATTTGCACTTGTATGAAACTCAAACACGTATTCCGAATATACAAACTAGAAACATGTGGATAAATATTATAAACTAGCGGCCCGCCCTCGCTTCGCTTCGGTGTAGAGCTGAAGTGTAGACTACAGTTTTTGTTCTCAGGCTTGTATTATACACAATGACATTCATCTATGATTCTTCTTATACCTGCATGCAAAGTCTCAGCCCGATCGGTTTAAAATTGATAAAGTTTCATACAAACTTTCATTCCTTACTTTATCCCCTTGGGATTTTCTTTATATTTTTTTCCGTAAGAACCTTGTACAGAGTATTAGAAAACTACAAAAAAAAACAGCCAAATCGGTCAAGCCGTTTTCATGTCATGTCGTGACAACGGAAAACGGGTTTCATTTTTATATATATAGATATGAAAACAGTCTCTGTTCTAAATTCAAAACTCGTAACTTTTCCCGATGTTTGTTGCACGTGTTTCCCGCGCTAGGACCGCGAGTGGCCGCGCATGTGTACGGTGCGGCGGGCGACGCGGTAATGGCAGCGCGGTACATGAAGTTGGTCGCTAAAGCGACCAACTTCATGGTGTTAAAATTTAGTGTTACATGATGCGCGCGCATCTTAAAATTTCACTCTCATCAATTTTTCACAACGCGCCTAAAGAAGTATAACTTCAAAAACAAAGTTATTTATGATAGGTACACTACAGAAAGTATGTTATTACGAATAAGTACCACATAGTGAAAACAGAGCGCAATGAGTCCAACACGAATGTTAGAAAAAAAACATACGAAAATAAGTAAAAAGCAAGGTTAAAAACAGCAACTTTTTTGTAGTAAGACCGATGAACTTTAAAGACATCTCATAATATAAGTGAAAGGATTTGCAAATTTGATGAACCACAAAGGTACTGCTTCAATACAGTAGACTTTTGTATAGCAACATAGTTCTTACAAACAAAAGGTTCTATATATGTTTTTACACATAACGCAAACCGTATGCTCTATCGTAGTATAAGAAGCAGGTTCGCGAATAAAAAACAGCTAAAAAAATAAGTTAAAATTTCAAGCCATTACATCACTGATTGGTAAGTTATATTGATTACAGTGAACTCTAAGGGTTAAAGTTATATAACTTGACCGGTCTCAACTCATCGGTAAAGAAAGTACAATGTTTTTTTCTTCTTAAAAATTTTTAAACGGAATGCTTGCAGAGAGTACAGACAAGGCAGAAATACCGTCTGCTGATTTGTATTTCTACACGTGATTGCATTTCTTTTCTTAGTTAAGTTAACTAAAATCAGTTTCATATGTGTAGGTTTCGTAAGAAACGCGGTTTAGTTTTGATGCAAATTGATTGACTAAACTTTAATGACGTTTAGCAACCAGTTTGAATTAAGCTCTACATCTCTTGTGGCCGCATTTAGCATTCGGAAATAATAGTGACACTGACAAATTGCCTGTCCATGTCATTATCTAGAATATCCTAATTAATTTAACTTTCTACTATTTACTACGCCCCTAAATAGGTAACAGCCAAAAATTTATATGTACTTATATAAAAAAAATCGATTCACAGTGTTTCTTATCAATCTCCTCCAATACGGCTTCACTGTTCTTTTTTGTATTTTTTGTGTTTAGTAGGTATGAGAATAATTATGTCGTAGGTTATTTTTATACCCATAAGCTCTAGATATTTTTTGGACATTTTTTTATGACTTGGCATCAAAAAATACCCCCTTTTCCCCTCTTTTTTATGGCGGTACAAAGTTTGCCGGGTCAGATTTTATCACAGCTGTTACTTTGTCATTTCTTAGATCAAAGTACCAGGATAGCATATTTATAATAGAAGTTACTCACCTTGTAGAACTTGCTTGCCCCATCCGGTGACGATGCATTCGCCCGCGCCGTTGTAGAACGCGTCCAAAGTGTCAGAGGCGGCAGGCAGGCATATGGGGTAGATGTTCTTCGCCAATCTCAGGTTTTCAGACAAAACCAAGATGGCCGCGTCGTATTTCAAACTGTCAGACTTGTAGAACGGATGTCTTAGGATAGTCTTCACTTGCACAATTTGGAATGGCAGTGGTTCGTCGTCAATTCCGAGCTTCCATTCGCCTCCTTTGATAAGGACGTTCTTAGCGTCCAATCTGGAATGGATTTTAAAGTTTTAGCTCGATGGGAGATTCCGAAGCATCTCCTTTTAGATATGTTTGCCTAGTATTGTGGGTATCTAATGGTAGAAAATTATTAGGAGAAAAATATATTAGTAGAAAATCGAAACCCATGGTCTTTATGCAATTTTATGACAGATCGACAGACACCGGAAGCTTAGTAAATATTCCTAATAGGGTTTCTTTGCCCCCCATTGTACGGAATTCTGAATAAAACTTTTCATAAGGAATCTTAAAAGGCAATTTTACCAACCTCTAGTAACCAGGCTATCAGAATTTTGGAAGCAGTAAAAATATCTCACCCTTCGACGCAGGATGCGGAAGTGAGGACGACATCGGGCCTGGTGATGACACCACCGCAGAGCAGACTCCTGTTGGTCTGTAGTAACACCATGGCCTGCCATGGGATCTCAGCGAAGTCTACTTCCAAGTCGTTGCGGTTGCCGTAAGGTTTTTGACCCTAAAATGAAAATAATGTTGATGATATCAATTTGTGGTAGATTTTTTAGTACGATTTTTCAGATTTTCTTAATGTCATACGAAACGAAAAACGGGAGAAGCGTCCCATATCTCAAAGCCTTTTCTGTTCGTCTTCTATGTAATTCTGAAAGGAGGAGGGTCTCAATTTGTAACTTTTATTTAATTCAGTTACAAGTTAACATAACAAAAGATATAAGATAATGGATTTTTTACGATAGCAATAGAGATTTATAATTTGAATACCATAGCTAACTCATAGCGTTTTATAATGTCAAGTGTCAACATATATTATACCAATATAATATTTGAGCATATTTTTTTTTTATAAACGTAATTTGAAGTCACTGATGGAACAAGGTCTTCTTGATAAATTGATTCGCAAATTAGTTATTGGCCGTGTCGCAACCTTATTGATATTTGATTTTTATATGTTCATTATGCTATAGCAAATTTACCGTTAATGAGGGGTTTAGCTGTGTGCGAGTAATAAATAATAGATCAATAAATAACGGTTGGATTTTTTAATTGAACAAAGACCTTGCATATATTTTTATGATATATTCGTATGACACATTCTGTTATCTAACTATTAATTTTTTATTAATAATTGTGCGTCAGTGGTAAAGTTCCTATCAAATACTGACAGTACCAGGTAGACATGAACATATAAGAGACTTTCCTTCTTAGAATACGTTTAAGCCAAGGAACAGAGAATCTTTTTGCATAGTCGTGTCGAAATATGTATATCACATGTGTGAATGTGTATGTTTGCTACTTCTTCGCGTCTAAACGGCTGGAGCGATTTTAATAAAATTTGGTATGGAGTTAGCTGACACCCTGGATTAACACGCTACGTTTAACTGCGGGAAAATATCCCCAATAAACCGCGGGTAACACCGCGGGGCAGAACTAGTTGTATATATAAATTCAACACGTTCGCTAACTTCGTAATTGAATAAATAGTTAATATTTATTCCATAGTTGAGTATTCATGTATATATAGTTAGGTATGTCGGTTAGGTTTACGCAACTTAAAGTTGTTTTGACCCTTCCAATGTGAATACATTAACTTTTAACCAAACATATTTAATGGAGTCTGTTTCTAGTTTTATGTTAGTAATGTGTGATCTTTTTTAAGTGTAATGAGTTTTAGTTGTAGGATGACATGTCGACATTTAAAATCTGGGTATTTTAGACGGTAAATATGAAGCTTATTTCTCTATATAGACATTTTAATTGCATCTGTTTAGTTAAGTTGAGCGTAGTTTTCAAGTTAATTTTGTATGATAAAGAATTTATTCCTTGCAGTTTATAGATTAACAAAAGTAGTACAAATACCGATAATAATGAAATCTCAACCTTATTTAATTAAATGTCTAAAATGCCCTGGAATTTTGATTAGCAAACAAAAGTTACAGGTATGCAACCTGTAACTTTTGTTGTTGTTCGCTGTAGTTTTCGATGCAGCTCCGATATTTGACAGACTATTACCACTTTTATAAGTAGCTAAAAATTGTTAATAGTCACTTTGTAGGGGTACGATTTAGCAGTGTCTCTGCAAGTGAATTTTTAATTGTTCAAAATACCTAAATGACGGGAATGACATCAATTTGTTTGTTTAATACGTTACCAGATGCAGGTAAGTTAAGGCATTGAAAATTCAGTCAAACTGTCAACTAACTGTCTTTATTTTCTGTAAGTAACAACGGTGTTTGTAAATAAAAAAAAAACATGAATATACTTATATAATTATAATAATTTGGGTATTAAAAATTTGGGCTCGAGCCTAAACAAATGTCCCACTGTTGAGAAAATATGTGGGCAAAGTTTTCCCACAATATGGGTCAGAGGTACCAGGCTATCATGAACCGGCAAAGTTTTCATGCACCATGTAAAAGTAGATTTTGTCTATTCGACACGAACGTATGCTCTTGACTGCTCAGTGCTCACCCATCCCAAAATATACCACGGAGGACGTTGCTTAACATTTAAAACATAGTTATAAATCGCTAATCACCGTCTCGTCAATAAACCTTAAAACTGATATCAATTCATCGATCATATCATAGTATGCAGCCTTATACATTTTTCATTGCTTGCGAAAGAAGTGTTGAATGTCATGTCATCCTCACCCAATGGTATAGGTATGTACGTTTCGACACAGCAAGTTTAATTAAACGTTAAAATAGTCTGTGTTGTCGGGCGATTAGTTTTAACTAAACGAGTTTGGTAATGAGCAAAGAAGATCACAACACTATATTTGATATTAAATTTTTAAAATAAGAATTATGGAATTCCAAAGAAAAAATTTTTTGAAATAAGAACACAAAAAAGTTTTTACTACACATTGGAGAAACGATCAAATCGACTTGGCTTAGATAAAACAAGAAATTATTATGGCAAAGGTGCCGAGTTTCTTGGCGGTTCTTTTGCCATAGATCTACAAATATATAGTGTTTTGGATTAGTTAATATTTGGTTGTTAAAGCACTATAAAAAGAACCTTTCCAACCATAATTCTCTAACCAAAGTAAATGTCAAGTAAAATAATAGGGATGATGACAAATTTTCTACGTTTATCAGGTAGATTATTAAAAAGTATTGGACACGTATTTTTTTTTCACATAATATAAATATTGCAGAGATATATTGATTTGAAAAGTCGCATGACGTCACGTTTTGGTACAATTTTCACTTAAAAGTGACGTCACGAGTCCCTACTCCCAAACTTTGACGCGCTATAACTTTGTCTAATTTTGGTTGATTGTCCAAAGAAAAAATACGTGTCCATTATTTTTTGATCATCTAACTGACGGACTGAATAGAATTTCGTTTACTGTACCCCGTCATCACCCCTATTCTTATATTAATGTATCAATATATTTGCTTGCAATCTCGTATATAAACTAAAGATTATATGCTATTGATAGTTGTCTGTTTTGTCGCCCATAATATGTATAATAAATAAAAAACTAAAATTGGACAGATAAATGAGTGAGACATATTACTACTGGTACATAGTTCATTAAATAAACATTTAAAACACACACCAATTAGCCTAGCCCCAAAGTAAGCACTGTAGGCTTGTGTTATGAGATACTAGGGTAACGGATAGAATACACATACTCATACATGTATAAGTATATTTATATAGAAATACATGTTAAACATCCATGACTGGAGTACAAATGCTCGTATTCATCATAAAAACATCTGCCCCCACCGGGATTTGAACCCGGACCTCTGAGTTGACGACGCCATGACACCCGGCGTACATACCACCACGGAGGTCGTCGAAGTAGTTCATCTTTGTATTGCTGGTACTCATATTTTATAGGCTATTTTTTCTCTCTTTCTACAGTGAGGCAACAGTAGAGACAATAATAGGTCTACGATGATGATGATGAACTTATAATCTAAAGAAAAAAAATGGGTGCGTGTACTTATGTAGGCGCGTGAGAAGTTATCCTTCTTTGGCATCGTTTAAAATTAGTTTTTAATTGCATGCAAATAATTAATTACAATAAATTAATAAAAAGTCTGGAAAAGGACACAGTCAATAAAGTTTAGTTTTAATTTGAAAAAATAAATAAATAATCAAAATATTCAATTAAAATCGCTACTGAATATAATTTATTAGAACATATGTGATTTGCACTTGTATGAAACTCAAACACGTATTCCGAATATACAAACTAGAAACATGTGGATAAATATTATAAATATGAATACCTATAACTGTTACTTTATTACAAAAAATAAAGATGTGGTTTTTGGTTCTACTACACCAATGGTCAAGAGATGGCGCTGTAGTCTCCTGAATCGCGCTTTGGTTCCGTTGTTCCAGATTAATAAATACTTTTGATAGGCCTTCACAATGCAGTCGTTAGCATTAGCACCCACTAAATAGAGATTCTATTTCTATTTTGTTGGTAGATTTTCTTAATGTGCGGTAAACACAAAAATTAACAGCATGAAGTTGGTCGCTTTAGATGTGATGCGCGCGCATCTTAAAATTTCACTCTCATCATTTTTTCATAACGCGCCTAAAGAAGTATAACTTCAAAAATATTTTACTTACGTTCAGAACACCGCATTGACCGCTGCCTCCGTTGTATTTCCCCAAAAACACTCTGTAGACTTGTTCCGAGGCGCTGGTCTGTCCCTCCCCTTGGACGATGGCTTGGCCGAACCCTTGGCGGATGCCGGAGCCGAATCCTTGGCTAATTCCTTGACCTTGGCCAGTTATAACACCTTTGACAAACGGAAACCCGTATTATTAAGTAGCAATCGTACGTAGCAATCAAAATGCAGGTGAACAATTAATGTATAATTTCACATTATGTAATGAAGGGTGACTTCATGAATCATCTCTGAAGTCATTTTTCAACTTGACGACTCTGTAAATGATAAAACAGGGAGAAAAAAACAGCCCTTGCTGAGTTTCTTGCCGGTTCTTCTCAGTACAAGGTCTCCCGCCGTAGATTTGCGAACCGATGGCGTAGCTTCTAGACATTCATATGTGCTTGTAACAGCCTAAACTGAATAAATGATTTTGATTTGATTTGATTTGATTTAATGATGTAAATATTTTTATATCAATTTCGATTAGTTTCGTAAACAATCTGGCGAGGCGACCTGTTACAGTTCTGGACATCTTAGGAGTTAGGACACACCAAATTTAAATATGGCATCATTGTTAATATATCATCATCATCATCACCAGCCTTTTTATGTACCCACTGCTGGGGTACAGGCCTCCCCTATGGATGGAATAAGGAGATTGGGCCGTGACCCACCACGAGGGCCCTGTGCGGATTGGTGGGTGCTAACGACTGCAGATGCAGCCGGGACCAATGGCTTAGCGTGCCTTCCGAAGCGTGAGGTGGATAGCAATCGTGGAAGTTAAGCAACGTTCGTAATGGTCGGCCATTAGATGGGTGACCAAAAACTGATTATCTGTTAATATATAAATATTTTTATTATAGGGCTCTTTGATTCGGCAGTGGGAAATTAAACTGATCGTTTGTTAATGATTTACGATATAAACATAATATATTTTCATTGAACTAACACATAAAACTCACCTTGCCCGAATCCTTGCCGGTATCCAGTGCCGAAGCCGCCGCTTATTCCAAATCCTTGGCCGGAAACGCCGAAGCTTCCTTGGCCTTGGCTAATTCCTTGGCCTTGGCCGGAAACGCCGAAGCTTCCTTGACCCTGGCTAATTCCTTGGCCTTGGCCAGTGACGACGCCCAATCCCTGATCTTGGCCAATCGCGCCTTGGCCAGTTATAACGCCGAATCCTTGCCCTTGCCTAACGCCCTGTCCTTGTCCTGTGATGACGCCGATTCCTTGACCTTGGCTGACGGATTGGCCTTGGCCATTTATGACTCCTTGCCCGAATGTCTTCTGACTCTCTCCGGAGAACTGAGTGAACTGTCCTTGGCCACCCTATGAGGACATTTGTATTATTAATATTTAATTCAAGTGCGCAGAGTAAATACAACTCAATAAAGATTTAGTTAAGAAATAGGCTAGTTCACTCATGTCAAGTTGTACTATACAAATGTTTATTTCTTATAATTTTTGGTATGAGGAACCTAAATATATCGATTTCACTTCATAAAATTAGAAGATGGCTGTAGTAATTTAATTTGAAAAATAGATTTTTAGTCTATGCTTTTTAAACACTAAAAACGCTGTCAACCATGATTGTGACGTCAACATAATAGCAAAACAACTAAACGTCATTGTCGTGTTACTGTGGTTTCTTTCGTCCGACTAAAATATATCTAAAAACTCTTATATCTTGAAGAAAAGTTTCCGTTTATTGGTTTTCTTGACTAAATTAATGCTGGACGCCGGATTTGTGAAAGCAGAAACGACAAAACTCTTTGACTTAGCAGGTACATTCATAACCTTAAAAATTTAAACCACAGCATTTCTGGAGTTTTTAACGATGTGTTTCTTTATTCTCATATAATACAATCATGATAATTACTATATTTATCATGAAATCTATTAGAAATCATGGTTTTATAATGTAAATTCAGATAGGTTAGATCTTGCTTGCGAGTGTTTGTTTACTATTGTTCCCGCCATACCATAGATAATCTATAGACTAAAATGGCCGACAGCGATTTTGTATGTCCATGAAAAATCTATTTTAAAATTAAAGTTTTGTAGCTTTCTAGGTAAGTAAAAATTACAATACATTTTTTCGGTCTAATTGAACAATTATTAACCATTTAAAACATATTTCCAAAAAGTGTCAACTAGCCTATTATTATTATATGGCAGTTTCATCTAACACCCAACCAGGTAGGATACAAAATGTACATTAAACACAGAGAAGAGTACACAAAATGGCCAGCCTTATTGCTAAGTGATTCCTGGAATATACCGGCTTTATGTTGGCGGTGTAGCTCAGAAAGAATATTGATTGATTTCATTGATCACAGTAACTTGATCAAGATAACTTTCCAAAACATCTCGTGCAGTAAGGTACTGGCATTATTCACCGACCGACAGGAGTCGGTGATCGTATTTTTTTACTGTGATCAATGAAATCAAGAGTGGTTGGCTGGTCCCTGAGTGTGGTACAGGGCTTGAAACCGGTTTCGAAAATACCGGTAAATAGTTTAATACCGGTTTTTCTTAAAGGGATCGTTCGGAGCTAAATTGATTCAAAACCTATTTGATTTCGCTCTTTAGGAAAACCGGGTTTTTAAGGTTAAGGTAGAGCCAAACCTAAATAAAACGCTCCTAATGTACTTGACACCGATTTAGGTTTGAAAATTAACCGGTAAACAAGCCCAGTCCCCCTAGCATGACTAACAAAACGCGATGTGATAAAGCGATTTATCGACACTCAACTGTCAAACTCCATTGTAGTTTGACAGTTAATGTCGATAAATCGCTTTATCATATCGCATTTTGTTACTCATGCTACGGGGGCTGGTGAGGTAAAATTATCACGCTGAGTGAGCGGTTGACTACTCTTATTTTCATTGATGACGGAAGGTAATATATAGATCAAGTTATCGTGATCAAATATAAATGGAGGCAATTGAGAAACGAGCGATAAAGCTCATTGGAAATGACGCGCTTTGCCGGGCAAAGTTACAAAGCCTGGACGCCGACACCGACGCAAAGTTGCCAGTCTTTCGGTGTTCTATCGGTTGCATTTCGGTGAGTGCGCAGAGGAATTACATGAACTAATTCCTCCCGCCCCTTTCTACTACCGGACGAGCAGGGAAACGGCAAGGCGACATCGATTCACGGTGGCAGTTCCAAAGACTCGCACTAAGCGATTCGCGTCTAGCTTCATCGTGCGGACTGCCAAACTGTGGAATTCCTTGCCTGAGCCCTTGTTCCCCGAGCACTACAAACTAGCGGTCTTCAAAGCAAGAGTGAACCGGTTTTTATTAGGTAAGCGCGCTCCATCGTAGACCATAATATTGCTTTCCATCAGGCGAATTATGGTCAAGCGCTTACCTATTACCGAATAAAAAAAATAAAAAAAATTCGATCATTGGTTCTTGACGGACATTGCTATACATATTTTATAAAAAAATAAAGGTACTACCTTTATTTTTTTAGAAATTGTTAACTAGACTGTAATGTTTTACTAGTTCGTAGAAATTAATACAACCCTACAATCTGGGGTCCTTTAAGGGAGGCGTGAAGAAGCATTTTTGCAGGCCGAGAAGGTGAGGATGGTTGGTGTGGCTTATAACTGCTGTACCAGCTAGCTTTGCATTTGGACTTTATATTTACCACTTAACATCAGGTGCGGTAGAGTCGAATAAAAAAAAATTACGCACTTCATTAAAAAACTACCTTTTAACAGTTGTTTTTCGATACCTAGCGAGGAAGTGAGTTCATAGGTATTTGAAACAAAAAAGGTTCGCGTTTTTTTTTCATTATAGCATAATGAAGACACGGATTCAACAATCGCTAACGAAGCGTGCCATTTATCGGCTTATAAATTAAATTTTCACGCCTCTTATTATGATGTAATTGAACAATTCCATGCTTGTTAATATATCATCCATAATAGTTATTTATAACGAGTCAATTATTAAAAAATAAATCCGCATATTTTGGTGTTTTTAAAGAAATATTTTTAAACGTATGTACGATGTTATCGAATAACGTGTAAGTCTGTCTGGTGATGCTTTTAGAATCATAAATGTATGTCTCAAAGGTATTCCCAATTGGCCACCTGAGTCGTCCACCTGGGTGGTCAGTTAGGAATAAATATTTCCAACCGTCCATATTGTCGCCCGAGTTGCGGACGATAGTAAGCAAGTGTTTAATAAATTTGTAGTTGTATGAAAACATAGTAATTTTTTTAGTATTTAAGAATTTTGTCACAGTTAGTAACTTTGATTCCTAACTAACCTACACGGTAGATGATTGGGATTTTTTATAAGAACACGGACATTTTACATAGGATAATGCTATTCAAGATTATGTATTTCAAATGACCTAATAATAGGGTATTTGACAGTATTAAAAATAAATAAAGTGCCAATTGTTAGCATCTGAATTTAGAATGAATATTGGCAGGAGTTTTTACTATTTTTACAGAAAAAATATTCATAATTTTACTAAAACCCACGATAAAGTTAATAGTTTTCTTGTCTATTGTCACGTGACCCAAAACGCTTGGGATTGGTGGAACCTAAAATGACGTCACACGCAAGTAAACTTCCGGTAAAATGACATTTGATTGTATGGTTTGACGTTTTAATGACAGTCGTGTGACGTCACACACCAGTGAGACGCCATATTGTCCAGAGAAACGTCACTTGAAAATGGAGTTTTTGATTTGGTTATTTTTACTGAAATACACCACAGAATGATAAATATCCACTTTTTACGGACTCCATAAACATTAGTCAATAACGTGAGATCGTTTTCTAAAACTTGTCAAATACCCTATTAGGGGGATATAGTTTAAGACCTAGATTGAGACACAGGATACTTTATTTTCCGGAAAAAAAATATGGTTCTCAAATAACTAAGATTTACGAGTAGGATATAGCCGTTGTTAGTAATTAATAAAATTGGGAAAGATATGGGCCAATATTATATTGACTCTGGCTTTACCTTTGAAGTTACACTTAGACTATTAATCAGGGCCCTGTTTCACCAAGTCGACATATGTCACTGACATATTTAAGCCGACGGTTTGTTGTGGGGTGATCTATTTACTGCACTGATAAGAAAAAAATTTAGAAAATAGTAACAAAAGGTCTGTCATTTCTATCACAACAAGTCAGTGACATATGTCGACTTGGTGTAACAGGACCCTGGTAAGTATGGTATAACAAAGCAACTTACAGCTCCTTGAATGCCAATTTGTCCCTGGCCACCAATGCCAACTTGTCCTTGTCCGCCAATACCGATTTGACCTCTCCCGCCTCCGGAATACGAGCCCTGACCTCTCTCCACGTATTGTCCTTGACCCTGTGTCACGATTTGGCCCTGGCCCTGCGACACCGACTGTCCTTGACCCTGTGTCACGATTTGACCTTGACCCCGAGAGACCACCTGTCCTTGACCCTGTTGGCTTATTTGACCTTGTCCTCTGAAAGCTTGAGTATTGCTGGTGAATTGGGAGCCAGCTGTTTGTTGGGTTCCTGCATAATTTATAATTAATTAAATATTTTCGACATTTAAACCAATAAGCCTAGCCCCAAAGTAAGCAAGCTTGTGTTATGGAATTCTAAGGCGACGGATAGAATACATATACTGATGCATATGTTAGTATATTCATCTTGAAATATATATATAAACATCCCTGACTTAGGTACAAATGCTCGTAATCACCATACTTAAATGTACCCCACCGGGATTCGAACCCGTCTGACACCACGACACTTTGAAACCTTTAATACCCGGCGTACATACGACTTCTATGGAGGTCGTCAAGTTTTTTTGTTACTTATATAACTGACAATATTATGATCGAATTGAAAGGGACGAAAGACTTGTTTACTCTTTTAAGTTCATAGTTTCCTGGGAGGTACATATATTTGTTTTGGGCTAAGACTCACTAATGAGTGCATTTGATGGAGGAAAGATTTATCAACTTATTTAGATTGATAGTTTCCTGGTACTTTGAATTGTTTCTGTCCACGTTCATTCATTCAGAGTAAAAAACGGTTGAACAGATTTGGATGAAATATGGCATAAATATAGGTAGTTCATTACCTAGAATTCGAACCCGTCTGACTACACGACACTTTGAAACCTTTAAAACCTGGCGTACATACGACTTCTATGGATGACGTCAAGTTTTTGACGTGACAACGTCTTAAATTAGGTTGCGGCTGGGAGTCACTTATGAAAAAGTGTAACGCTCGGTAACGTTACGATGAGTCTCTCGTGTTAAGTTTAAGTTTACATGTACAATGTTTTAGTAAACAAAATATATTTCTATAGTTAAAATTTGTGCAATTCTTATTTTCATTCAATTCCTTGTTCCTATTGTGCAATTTAATTATATTCATATCAATAAATATTCTACCGAGAAAAAGACGTTGTCACGTAAAATCTTCGCCCGTAAAACCGACTTTACAGGCAACCATTTTTTTTGTTAATTAAATAACTGACAATAATATGATCAATTTGACGATCTCCGTGGCCGAGTGGTATGAACGCCGGGTTTCAAAGCGTCGCTCACTACAGGGTTCCATAAGATTTTCTATGTAAACCCCGTCCAAAAATAAGTTTCCCTTTAAAAAGACAAAAATATAAAAAAAACGGTCAAAAGTTGTTGTTGTTGTTGCTTTGGATTCATTTAATGAGTTTATTTAATATCGACATTGGCGAGATGCAATTTGTAATAAGTAGATAATTAATTTATTTACTCAATTAATATTTATCACTGCATAATTAATAAAGTGGGTAGGTATATTGAAATATCTACATGACATAATCCATCTCTATTAAAGAAAAGTTGTTGAACTGTCAAAACATCACGTTACCTCCTTGGCCGGCAATGCCGAATTGTCCCTGACCTCCTTGTTCGTATTGACCTTGGCTTCCTTGTCCGTATTGACCTTGGTTTCTGATTTCAAATTGTCCCTTTTGTCCAAAAGATGAGACTGTATTGCCGCCGGTAGGGTAACCAGGGGTCACTTGGTTGGGCCCGAATGGTGGTAATGTAGGTTTCGGCCTAGGATATTAAAATAAACTTATTTAGCAGTTAAATTAAACATTTATCAGTTAAATGTTTTAAATAAAAATATAATAATCTTCAACATTTAAATGCAAAGAAAATATTATTAAAAAAAATCCACGCTGATCAGGCAGTAGACGGGATTCGAACCTGCAACCTTTGCTATCCGAGCGAATACACTGACCGTTATGCTACCGCGGCCCTGATGGCCGTATCGAATCCTTTATATCCTTTCTTAAGCTGCAAGGCAGCGCCATCTCTTCGCATTGTAAGTAACCCACAATGTCAAATGAATATCTTTACAAGTATTAAACATTTGAAAAAAGAAATTGCATTTCTGGTAATGATTTCTTTGGATTTAAACATCGAGCAGTTACAGATTTAAAAAATAAAAATTGTAACTTCAATTGATTAGTTTAAAATAGGGCAGGTAATAAATTTATAAAACAATACAAGGTATTAAGGATAATACGTTATAGTGACACTGCTTAAACTTATATCGAACTAAAAAAATTGGTTCAATGTAAAATTCTCTTTGATAACACCTATTCCCGAATTAGATATTTACTTTCTGTCACTGTTAGTTACTCATTTGGGAAATGAAAAAGATTCAAATTGAGAGAATTCAAAAGAGCACTGAAATTGGAATCGAAACCGAACTTTCATGACCCAGAACGATACAAAACCAATTGTGCTTTTATGCGGGCCTGGTAACTCTAAAAGACAAAATAGTTTTATCGAGAGGATTTCTTGTTACGAAAGGCAAGCATGTTATGGGTCCCTAGTACAAAACCCGGTGTTATATTGTCTAGTATCTGGGTATTAGTGTTTTCACCGTTTCCGATTCCCATATTAAAATACCAGTATTTCATTAAAGAAAGCGTGTCGCTTTGAGTGAGTGAACTTTAAACATAAATTCTTTTTATTAATAAAAAAAATACTAGGTAAAAAACCCCGGGTATATACGGCCTAGCAGTTTCGCTTAAAATAACAATACAATCCTTTTGATAAGTCAAAATCTCTTGTATAACTTACCTGTTTGAGTTCAAAAGCACATTGCCGGTAACCGGAGGTCTGGCGGTGACCTGAGGCCTGGGATTGTTGCCAGAGCCCCTGCTGTCTGGCACGTATTTGCCGTCGTTGCCACCGAATACGCCGGGAACCCATTTGCCAAGTTGGTTTGTGGGCCACGGGTCCGTGTACAAAGGATCTCTGCAGCATTTGCCAATGCGACCGGATGACAAGTCTTTGCAGTCCTGTTAAAACACAACCTTGTTTTTATGCAGTCCTGGTAGAAGCTTTAGTGATTGCAGTAAAAGAGAAAAGTAAATAAATAAATCCCGTGGCGGATTTCTTGCCAACGTCAAAAAACCCCTGTCTGTGGAAGTGGCGAATCTACCACGCAATTAAATTAAAATCAATTAATCAAGATTGATTTAAAACAATGAAGATTTTGCTTACACAGTTCCCGGGAAAGGATGTAGGATAGTTCTTTGTTGTATTTCGAGTTGAAAACTTTTCCACGCAAACGAAGTTGCCATGCACCCACTACTGATACTAGACATTTATAGTCTTCTTTTGTAATATTTGTTTGTTACTATGGATTTATTAAAAAAACGTAGTTTAAAAATACTATACTCACAGTAAGAGGTACTCTGTAGGACTCCTGATCTCTAGTCAATATGACAGTCGTGTTGGAGATCACTCCCTCAGCGGTACAGTATTCGATGGGTGTGCACTTCAGAGCGGCCGCGCAGCCAGCTGGGATCTCATCTGAGGGACGAAAGACTTGTTAACTATTTTAAGTTCATAGTTTCCTGGTAAATTTATTTGTTTTGGGCTAAGACTCATGAGCTCATCTAATGGAGGAAAGATTTATTAACTTCTTTAGATTCATAGTTTCCTTGTACTTTGAATTGTTTTGGACCACGGTGATTCTTTCACGGTAAAACGGTTGAACAGATTTGGATGAAATATGGCATAAATATTGGTAGTTTATCCAGGTGATTGAGACTTATGATGACTTAGGGCGGACGAAGTCGCTGGAGGAACCTAGTAATACATGAATCCCTTTGGTTTTAGGTATATTATATAGGCACTGCTACCATGAGGTTATATATTAATATAATTATGTATACTCATATTCCTGAATTTGGGTGTACGGAATTTAACTGAAGTTTGAATGATCTTTGATTATCTTGTTCCGCCATTATTAGAAGTACGTGAAGATTTCATAATGTCTTTCATAGTCTAGACCAAAATTCACATGTGAAAGTAATAAGTTACTGCAAACGTAAATTCACGTAACTACTAAACTTAGTTTATTTCTGAACAAGAATGGATAATAATTAATCGGAAATGCTATGACACGTCAATTTGTTTTATATCATGCAAATAATTATCGTGACATAATTATAGTTACCTAGTATATAGGGTATAGGTCATCCATAAAGTAAGTCATACTAATTTCGTATTTGTTTACCCCTCCCCTATCCTTGTCACAGTTGAATTGGTCGCAGTCGTGTGCCCCTCCCTACTCTCCCCAGTGTGACGTCACATATTTTGCATTTAGAAATTATTAAATTGAAACAGCAGTACCACAATCAGTTCCGAAAATTAACCAACAAAAAATCCTACACAGACAGAGTTTTAAATAGATAGACGAAACTATAAGGGGTCCTTGTCAGGACTATGGAACCGTAAAATGAAATGGTTAGTGCATCCTCCCTGATAGTGGGGGGTACGGGTTCGAGTCGTGTCTGCTGTCTGGTCCGCGTGAAAATTCTTGTAGTAAAATTTTCCTTTAGATTTAAAATAGAACTTACTTGGTGAGGAGAATGGTTGTTTCGGTTCTCTGTTCGCCTCCAGAATAATTCCGCCGTCGGTGTAAATCGGAGGTCCAGGAACAACAGTCTCTTTATTATTGGAGGAGTCACTCTGTTCAGGAGGCAAGTAGCCAGGGGGCGATGTTGAAGGTCTGTAAGTAGGTCTGGGAGTAATTGGCCTCACTGTGATGGGACGCGGAGTGTATGTAGGTGGGATAGCAGTGGAACTTATAATTGTGGGTTGGTGGACGTTGTCCACGGGAGGCAGGTAAGGAATGCCTGGTTTCAAACCAGTAGCTCCAGGCCTGTAAGAGCCTGCTACTTCGCTTCCAGCGGAGAATGAATCGGTTTCTATAAAGTTAGATTGGCTCGTGGACTTGAAAACTTCGTTGCTGGAGCCGAATCGGTTTGTAGGAGCGGCGGTAGAGAAACCAGCGCCGGCTCCGAAGCTGCTGGAACCAGATCCTGAAGCAAATTTATTGGCGTTGAATCCTGACCCGAAACCGGATGTCACTCCTGACGTGACTCCTCTGTTTACGGAGTTCGAGGAACCGAAGGAGCCGGATGCCGAAAATCCGCTGCCGGAAGAACTTCCGAAAGCACTTTGTCCTGCTTGGCTTCCTTGGCCGAAAGCTCCCTGGTTTCCTTGGCTGAAGGCTCCTTGGCTGCCTTGGCCGAACGCTCCTTGGCTGCCTTGGCCGAAAGCTGTTTGACTAGTCTGCGTTCCTTGTCCGAAAGTGCCTCTGCTTCCAAAAGAAGCTCCGAAGCTCGCTTGTCCAGACTGGCTAGCTTGGCCGGATTGGCTGGACACTCCAGATTGGCCTGATTGTCCGAAAGCATTGCCGCTTTGACCAGATCCGAAGCTGCTGCTACCAGAAGCGAAGTTGCCTTGTCCCGATTGTCCGGTTACGAAGAGTCCTGATCCTTGGGACCCAGAACCGGAGAAGGTGGCAGAACCCACACCCAGGGATCCTTGAGAGCTGCCGGAGCCAGAGAGAGCAGATATTTCCATGCGGCAGCATATTTCAGTCTTAACGTTGCAATAATGTTTCTGGAACAAAAGAGAAGCCATTGAATATACTTTGCTTTTGAAAAAACTAAATAACGAAGGGAACTTTGATATTAATGAACATTTAAGTGTTTAAACCAAAGTCATAATATTATGATAATTATTTAATACAATACGAGTATGGATAAACTTTGGTCAACTAAAGCCTCCTAAAGATTCACTACCGTATGTAAGTAGCACTTCTCATTTAATTAATTATTACTTTACTCCATGATGTTTATATTAATTAATCTATTAATTTTAAACAACATTAATTATAAGGTATTTTTTGCCTGCAATTTGCCGTAGCGATTATTGCCGGAGTTGTTATATATATATATTGCTTATTATTTAGGCATTGTGTAACCGTCCATCTTTTCAAGCCGGTCAAAGTACCAGGAATGCATAAGCCGTAAATAACTTTAGATTGTTGATAGGGTCGGTCAATGTAGGCAATGCCTAGAAATAGCATCTTTAAGCTACGGTGGCCGCTTATCAGCAGATCAAAAGCTTGTTCGCTACCCATTTTACTCAAAACATACAAGAAACCTGTTACTCCAAGGAACATACAAACAAATAAATCGTTATCAAATTTTGAAATAAACAAATGCCGTATTGCAAATGTATGTTGCACAGTACACAGTCACGATATCCGTTAAAGGATATTTCGTATTCACGGGTCAAAGTTCGGCTCCTGTTTGTTTTTATTTATGTATTTTATTCACTTAAACGATGCTGTAAGTATTCCAATGCAGCTTACAAATATTAAAGTTAGTAAACTTGTTTGAAGCTTATTAAAAATTTTGGAGAATGGTTTGCTGTTATATTAACCTTCTATTAGCTTCTGTTAACCTAGAAGAAAACATTATTTTTTTAGGTGACAGCTTGAAACCATTATTAAACTCTCATGGAATTTTCAAATAATCGTTTCACTGCTAAAAAAAATCTAATAAAAATTTCAAAGTTGTTTATTGATAAGTTAGATAATTATATGTCCAGTAAACATAAGTTTTCCAACAGCTATGATAAATAAAATTCAATTTTCATTTATAAAATAATTTCCTAATTGCCTAAGTGCTATTAACACTGTCGTAAGAATATGTCGCTAAGTTGTAAAGTTAAAACTTACATTACAAATAGTTAGTTGTAACATAAGTTATTGCTACAAGTGTAAGTAATGACAGTAATTGTATGATTAATGATTCGTGAGCATATGTCAAGTACATTGTGTATAGCTAATGGTATATTCTGTTATCAACGTAAATTCATTTGGGCATTGGCCTACGAATCGTCTTTAGTAAATTCGGCGCATTGAGAAAAGGTTCAAGTTATATAATAATTTGAAAATGCCAGAAAAGAAAAAAGTACTGATAGGAAATCAGATTGGGTTCTTTAATTCTTACTAGCGGCCGCCTGCGACTTGGTCTGCGTTAACTTTAGTTTTTGGAGTATCCCACAGGAACCTTCCATTTTCCGAGATAAAAAGTATCCTATATCTCAATCCAGGTCATAAACTATATCCATACCAAATTTCATTCAAATCCTTTTAGTAGTTTCTGTGTGAAAGCGTTAACAAACACACTAACTTTGGCATTTATAAATATTAGTTAGGATCCCCTCGGTTCCACGCTACCAGGTCAGCATAAATTGAAGTAAGTTCTTTCATCGACACGCTATTTTACGATACGATCCGGCAAGGAGTCGAACTGACGACCCTTTATAATCAACGGGCGTGGTGCAACTGTATTGCGTACTACCTGTATGTATGCACGAGCAGAAAAGTGTTCAGAGTTAACACTAGCGATTCGCCCCGGCTTTAAACGAGTGAAATTTTTTAAAAAGCAAGTAGATTGAAAAGTAAAAAAATGGTTGCCTGTAAAGTCGGTTTTACGGGCGAAGATTTTACGTGACAACGTCTTTTTCTCGGTAGAATATTTATTGATATGAATATAATTAAATTGCACAATAGGAACAAGGAATTGAATGAAAATAAGAATTGCACAAATTTTAACTATAGAAATATATTTTGTTTACTAAAACATTGTACATGTAAACTTAAACTCATCGTAACGTTACCGAGCGTTACACTTTTTCATAAGTGACTCCCAGCCGCAACCTAATTTAAGACGTTGTCACGTCAAAAACTGCTTCAAATTGCTAAAATAAAACCGCCAAGCGCGAGTCGTATTCGCGCCTGTAGGCACTCAACATTAGACACTATATTATTATAATATCGAACGCAATAAACGGCAACAAAGATCTCGTCTGTTGTATGGGCTCCCCTTAAATATTAATTTTAATTTGATTGCTTTGAAAGTTAATATTACTACCTACTTCGTTCCAACTGAGTGTTATTCGACACTCAAGTTTGCTTTTTTATACCACCATTGTCGTTATCCTTAAATTTTGCCAAAAAATACAATTAGAACATCAGTCAAAAATTATGAATAACAAAAAAATAATTTTAAATATAAAGACTTTTCTCATTGACTATACCGAATGTCAACAAGTTACAAAGCGACCGAATGTGTGTCATAGCAGATTTGTAAGCAAAGAAGATTGAGCTTTGTCACTCAAAACATAAGAGTCACTATTGAATGGGTGCACAGATTTAGTTATCCCACACGTTTTCTTTGAAAGTGATCGATGTTTGGCGATTTGACGAGTCCTATAGATACAATAGGTTACTAATAAACCTATTATAAGGCTTGCAAGTTTGGAGTTTCAACCAAACCTAGCGCTTTTGAAATAGGTTATTTACCTAATTGACAATAAAATTGCGTCTAATTCGTAAGTTCTTATAGTTTTTATCAATATAGAATTTATTTTTATATTAGTAATTTAATTGCTCTATTTATGGTATAAAATATAAGAAAGTTAAATCACGGGCCGAATAGATTTTTTCACGTCTTTTCTAAATATTTTCTTCCTAAATGGTTTGTTTAGCCTAGCCTAATAATTATAAAAATAGAACCCTTATATATCACTCAGGTGTCTGTCTGTCTGATAGTCTTTAAGAGCGGGTGTGTTAAACAAAAAAAGAGAAAATAATCCACCCATATTAATTTGTACTAGGGCATCATATCTTATACAGAGTTGTTTTATTAATAGTTTTAACCTTTGCACCACGCCTCCTTGTACTGTCTGTCGGCCAGTCTGTCGATATGCAATCAATTATTAATGATTAAAAATAAAAGATTTGCATAACATATTGCGATACGAACATAATAAAAGGTTTTAAAACAAGTGTATTTTAGTCTAAAATATGTGAATTCGCGTAAATACCCAATAAGTATTATTAACGGAACTGCTGCCAAATATTATAATAAACATACAAATATTATCCAATGATAAATTACATTCGCAAAGAGCAGTTATCTGCTTCTCTGATTAATGACAAACACATTATGGGTTTTTACGTAACTGTAACTCGCAAAGTTCGAATAATGATCAAGTCGTCAAAAAGCTTATCTTGAAAATGTTGTCACATTGTTGTTTACGATAACAAAAATTATGTAATGTTTTTTCAAGTTATCAAATTCTTCAAGATAAAAGTAGATTCTACATAATGTTGTAAGTATATGTCGTAGGATGATTTATTATATCGAATTTACGCGAAATTTTTAAAATTTTTAGTGATGTCATTTTTAAATCTTACTGAAAAAGAATCTTTTGCGAAAACGCGAGAAGTCTCAGTAAGATTGTGAAAGGAATCGTAGGCTTATTATAAATATTCTTGGGTACACACTAGCTTAGGTTAGGTTAAAGTCGTGACCACAACGCACTAAAAAAAAATCGTTTACAGTAAGATTGAGCAATGTCATTGTCTAATTATCCGTGTTTTCGCAAAATGCCTAGGATTTTCGCTAAACTTCAATATATCATATAATCCTACGAAATATTATTATAGGCACATTCTAAATAATAAAACTATTATAAGGTTAAGCCATTTTCAAGAGAGATAGGGCATACAATTATTTCGAAATAGTAAACAACTTCCATTCAAATATACTTAACTTAGCAGCTGAAATGCAAATATAATTTTAATCTAATTATTACGATGAGATTTCAAAAGGTCTCGAATCAATATTAGTGGGAAAATTGCGAGCGAATCTTGCCAATATTTACTCTAACATCATACATACATGGCTCCTGCTAATACGTGAGATCTTGGTTCATTTCGGATGTTGTAAGAGCTCATTTGAATTTCCTTGAGCTATAAATACCTGCTGATTTAAATTATTTAATGAATTTTCATACAATATTCATATAACACATTAGTAATATATTACATAATGCGATGCGATTTGAACAGTCTGAACAGTTTTTCAATGAAATTGAAGCAATCGAATTAAAGAAAAGCAATTGAACGATAAAATTTGATCAAATTTAAATCGCCTCATGTGAACCCGGTATAACAATAATTATATATGTAGGCAATCAACCGACCTATTTTATTTTTAATAGTTTGTAGGAAGGCCAAAGGGGAAGATCTTCCTCCGAGCTGGGTGATGTTAGGATTTTTTTGAGTGTGTATGCTGTTGGTCGCAGATGACCTTTACAGCGTCACCGGGTTTGGGGACGGCGAGATACTAAGGGGACCTCAAGCCGAGTGCCTCTGGAGGTATTCCAGTCGGATGGCGTCTCTCCACGGGGGGAGTCTCCTCTCCGTCTGGAGCCTTCAGACCACTCGAACCTGAGGGGATCGGCTCAACTAGAGGGCGTCTCTGAGACTCGGACCTCAGCTCTAGTTAGCCGCTGTCGTGGGGGGCGGAGCCCTACTGATGTTGGTCGGGCATCGTATTTAAGGAGTGTTTGGCTCTGAATTTCTCTTGCGCGATGTAGGCTTCCATACGTTGTAAACGCAGCGCCGGTAGCGCCATCTCTTAAGGAGACATGTGGGCGGGCATGTAGACGCAATGACGGCGACTGCAGAAACTTGGTATTGTTGATATTTGTTTTGCATTTTGCATAACAAAAGTAAACATCAAAATTGTTTACCA